TGTTTAGATGGAGTTTTGGCTTTGCCCCCCCGAGCTGCTGGCTGGCACAGCTCAGCAGGCACACCATGGTCACTACAGCAGAGAAAATGGTAAGAGTTACTCAAGTATCAAATTACTTTTCCAGTGTAAGGGCCGTGTTTTCCTCTGGCCCACAAGCAGGACTGCAAACTGCGAGCAGGGAAATGGTGACATCCAGTGCTCAGATATTCTGTAAAGTGTTCTCATCCCCACTGCGCTTGTTTGTGCTTGTTCTATGAACAGACACCTCCAGTGCTGGACACACAGATGTGTTATGTCACAGCAAAGTGCTCTAAACACAAGAAACTGAACAAGAAATTAAAGCCCTTTTACCTTCAGGCTTTCTCTTTGAATGAACAACACGTAATGTGAACAACTCCAGAAACCAGGTCACAAACTGCCATGGTGGTTTTCGGTCAGCCCCTCTATAACTCTATTTATATTCACTGAAAAGGCATAAGTGGCACAGCTGATGTCAGAGATCTGTGAGGATTTTACTGCCAGGAACACCTGCACAGCACGTGGACAGTTTCAACAGCAGGAGCTGTGGCTGACAGCCACAGCTCTCCATGCCTACCCCATCAGCTACTTCTTCCTCCCCTGGAGGGGGGAGCACTGTGCTCTAGTCAAGGTGTTGGAGAAGAGTATGAAAAACATGCAGGAATCAACAGGCAGAATAAGTTCAAAGCCCTTTTCTATCCATAAGACCAAACCAATTTATCCTAAAAGTGAGACTGTTTACAGAAATAATTTTATTATCAGCATATTAATAAACCCCAACAGGAACTAACTCCTATTTACTCATTCACAGGAAGACATATGTAGCTTTAAATGCTAAGGAAATAGTTCAAAGACCACCAGAAATCCCCGAGGAATGCAGGGAAGAAGCCCACTGGTGCTGGCACATGGGACACGTTCTACCCTCCCCGAGGCAGCTTACAAAGGAATAGTCAAGGCTGAGGTAACACTTTAGACAGGTTGGGATTTTTTCCTGTTTCTCTTCAAATTCAGTTAGTGAGACCAGGCAGGACTGGCAGTACAAGAGTTATTTTGCAGTGGTGGAGGAAAAAAAACTAAAGTGATAAGATAATAGAAATAACACCAAAATAATTTTTCAATTAAACCCATTAAATTCAAGGAGCAAGCAAATGACTCCATTTGGAAACACAACCTGGGCAGTCAGAATTGCATTTCCCTGGGCATTCTAAGGGGACCTTTTTGCTCAGGCATCACTATCCCTAAATCCCAAAGTCTTTTTGGATACCAACATTAAATTTGAGGGTGTCTGACACCCACTAAACTAGCTGCACTTTTGTATTTGAAGGTTTACCAGCTCCTGAGCTCAGAAACTGTCAGCTCAGACAGTAGCTGTCCATCAGACCCACAATACTTCAATCCAAACCCTGGTTCCCCCCAGTATTTATCTTTACAGTCCAGCCCAGCTCCCAGAGACATGCTCTTCTGCAGCTTAGGGCGATGCACTCTAGATCACACAAGCGTTCAAAAACCCTGTCCAGCACACAGCTCATTCCATGCAAGCTGCAACAGAGCTCAGAGATGCAGCTTTACAGTATCACTCCCACCAGTTCCTGAAATATTCAGCACTGCTGGATCCTGAACAGACGCTTGCTCAGTTTTGATATACAATTATTTGTTCATGAGAGTGGTTGTTCCTTCCTTTCCCCAGCACATAAAAACAAGGGTTGAATGCTCTCAAAACCCTGCATAAACACCTACTTTTTGATACAGCAATTTTAGTAAGCTTAAATATTACTATTTTGTGTTCTTATAAAATTTAAGTCACCTTATTGCTCCTGATTTCTGTAAATCAGAGACACATTTAAAGTCCCAGTTTCTGCCTAGAAAAGCAGCCTGGAGAGGCTGCTGGAGCACCCTGCCTCACACTCAGCAGTTACTCAAGGATGGCAAGAGCCCCAATTAGCAGGGGCTGCAGCCGCTCAGCCCCAGTGCTCCCTGGCACCGAGGAGGAATAAAAGGGGAATTCTGAACATACACTGATGCACACTCAGCCATGGCAGCATCGCAGCAGCTACACAAACAGGGGGCTCGCACTGTTCCAAAGACAACTGAGCTGTGCATGCAACCACCCTGGGCTGGCTCCTGCGCAGTGCCATCACGTACCATTTGATGGACACAAAGAACCTGTAGCCAGAACGGCTTTAAACTGAAGTTTAAATACAGTTAATTATTTTCGAATGAATATTTCTCTTATCCTAATGAATTCCTTAAAACAGAAACAGCTACATAAACATAAAAAATAGATTAGAAAAAGTCTGATGTGGTCTGCCATAGTTACCTTCTTCGTTTTCAAAGAGATTGCCAACAGAAAACTGTATCTGGGTAGGACAGTGGAATTTGTGTCATCATGACCAAGCGATTGTGGCGCAGCGAGATGCTCCCGCGGCTCTGCGGTCCTGGTCCCCATGGAAACCGGACTCGGATATTGTCCTCCGCTCGCCGGAGCACCGAGTCGGGAGCCTTTTGTGCCTGATGAGATTTCTTCCACAACCTTCCAGCAACAGACCCTATGCTTCCTCCTGACTCTTTCCTAATTGAGATGCAAATTAATCTCTGTGGCTGATTACACTTCCCTTACAGCCCCTGACAAGTGCAGCTGTAGCTGGAGTTTACAGACTTTCCAACAAGTGACTTCAGCTGTCACTGCTGGCGAGGCGCTGCCCCAGCTCCCCAGCACGCAGCCCTGTGCCGCCAGCACGTCCTGTCCCCCTGTGCCACCACCATGAGCCTGGTGTCCCCGTGGCCACCTTCACCTGCCTGCCCCTCTGCACCACACAGGGCAGGACAGAGTCCCAGCAGATACTTCACACCCTGCCACTGCTCCAGCACGAGCACCAGGGACTCAACATCTTATTGCCACTGAACCCTTGGTACCAGGGTTTGATCCATTTCTAACCACACTTGAATCAAAACACCCTTAGCTGCTCACCCTTAGTGTGGGTGGTGCCTTTAAACAGGACCCAGGTGCCAGGAGAAGTGGCAGATTATCCTCAGCTCTGCCTCACTCCAGCCCTCAGTGCTCACCCCAACTGCACGGTTATAGCCGGTGTGCACCAAACACCCCTTACTTTGACAGGATCATTGCTTTTTATTTCTCTCTCTCACTGATATTTTTTGAGTTATCTCCATCTCCAGTTTGATAAAAGCACTTCCATTTACTGTTTGCATTGCTGTGTCCGTTTCCATCCTGTCCTCCTCAGAGCAGCTGGCAAAGCAAACACTGGAGTGGAGTCACTCACCCTTTGGAAGCTGCAGAACAATTTGGCTCCACTAGGCTCAAACATCACCTTTACACATCCACACACTCACATTCCAATTGCTGGCTCATTATGAATTTTAGTATACCTCAAAGTGCATCATCATCTGTAGGATGAGTTATGGATAGCTTTCTCTCCTGCTCCACTGTCACCGTGGTGGGATCTGCCTACCACATTCCCTTTGTCCCTATTTCAGGAGTTTCTCAATCCACTTCCATTTATCAGACAGACAAGTGGCAGTTGATTCACTGCAGACATCGCTGGCGCACAAGCAGCCACAAAAAAAGGCGGAAAAGAATGTGGGGACAGATGCTGCTCCCAACCTGTGCGGAGCAGTGCCTCGTGCTGCTCGTGTCGCCTGGGGACACGCAGGGACCCCGAGGGAGCCCCCTGGAAAGCAGGAGCACGGCCAGCTGGTGAGCACTGCTCGCTCACAAAATGCTGCAAGCCCAAAGCAGAACCAGAGGACTCCAGCCAGGAGCGAGGGGCTGGAATTGCTCTGTTACCATAACTGCTGCTACGCATGTTAGCATTGCTACCCTGTTATTTTACTATTATCCACTGGTTGAGGAGCACACAGAATTCTGCACAGAACAGTTTCAGGAATTTGCTACATTTCTCTCAAGAAACAAAGTGGAAAAGTCAGCAAGCCTTGACTCACCTGTCAGGCACTGCCACGGTTTGCACAACTGCCACCAACCGCCTTTGCTTTACAATGAGTACACAATTCAGTTAATAAAATACAAACCTATTTAACCACAGGGCTACTTTTAATTTATGATGACTTTTGCAAAGTATTCTCCTTAAAATTTAGTCTTTTAAAAAAACAACTAGTACTTTGAGGATATCCTGTATTTTAAAAATGTGCATCTCAAACTAATTCATTAATGTTCTTTCAAAGATCAAAACATTTAACTTAAAAACACTTTCTCAAAGTCACGTGGTTAGAAAAATACTCAAATCAAAAGCTCCCCAGAGAAAGTAAAGTGCAGTGTGTGTTGGTCCTGAGATAAGTGATGTGATTAGCAAAACAAGCTATAAAATGTCTGACGGCATTATGGGAAAAGCCTAGAATGAGTGAAAACCAGTGCTGGTGCTGTGGGTCTGTGTAGCACCCAGAAATAAAAGCCTGTGTCACAACTCCTGCCCCAGAGAGCCTATCCTCTCGTTACCTTCCAGTCACTGTTGGAAAACAGGTTCTGAAAATGCCCGTGGCTGGAACGAAACCAGAATTTGCATACTGAAACATCCGTATCCGAGGACAAATCCCACCTGTCTTACTAATGTAATGAATCCAGGTGAAGTCAGTTGGACTAGAACTTTGAATAGGGTAAGAACACAATGGAGCTGCACATCAGCCTGACGTACACAGTTGGTAACGTCCATCAGCGTGAAGGAAAACTGATAATAATCATTACTCACAGTTCACAGCACCGGTGCTAAGTCCAGGTCTGCCAGCAGTGAGATGGAAGCTGTTGGTGAGAGCACTCCTGTGATGTTACCATTCTATTTTTAAAATACTGGGTGTGAACCACTGAAAACATTAAGCTGCATACAAAGAAAACACTGACCTTTGCCAATAAAATCGAAGAGGACGAATTTTCATCTAAGCCTACCTCTCTGCAGAAGGATGCCCTATGTAAGAACCCTACCAAGGGGAGCCTTGTCCCCTGGGAGAAAGGATACAAGCTCTGGTAGAGTGGGATGAGGGACTTGACGGCTCTGCTGGCGTTGATGCACGTGGCACAGATCAGGCTTGGCAGCAGCTTCGCGGTCACAATCGCTCCATCGAAGAGAGGACCGAAAAACGGCACCTGGGGACCCAGAACAGAACAAGAGGCCTCAGAACCACCACGGGAGATGGGTACGGCATTTTGCCACAAACCACTATGAGCACATTGTTCCACACGCTGAAACTCCCAGTGTGACGTTCATCCCCCAAGTCTGGAAGTGTTTAAATCCTCCATAACTGCCCTCAGCATGCTGTACATGGATACCCATCTCACAGAACATTCAGCTGGGTAACAGGAGCTTGTTACTCACAGGAACCAAGGCCCTCTATGAATTTGCAAGTGATATGCCATGGGGAGTGCATATAAAGAACTGTTTCCTGTCTGGGATCCCCCAACACAACACCCTGATTCACTGACTGAATCCACCCTTGGCAGAACGTTTCTCAAAACCATATTTGCTTCAGATAATCCTCTATAAACTCCTTCTGTGGACTTTGTAAAAAGTAAAAAAACTCAGGCTGGACCAAGATAAGGAGGTGTGTGGAAGGCAGAGGACATGGCAGAGCAGGGCCCTCTCGGAGGGGCAGAACACACAGCTGGGACAGGCACTAACTGGCCTGGCCCAGCCAGTCAAGGTGCTCAAATGCTGCCCCGTCAGGGTCACCTCCAGAGGAACCCCCATTCTGGTGCCTCTGGTGACTCAGGGCTCTGCAGAGAAAGGCCACACCAGATACCAGAGATGCTTTCTGAAAGTCAGCCATGTCTGGAATTGCAGACACATAACAGACCTGGCCAGCCAAACCCAGGAAATTTTGATGTTTAAATACATAATGAATTTTAGCACTTACAAGTATTCAAACTCATTTCACTTTCACAAACTCAAAGTGAAAAAAAAAAATCCCCCAACCAAAGCCCTAAACAGAAGCCAGCAGAAATTATCAATATTTAAGCTATGGATTTTTTCCATCTGTACAGAGGCTTATCACATAAATAAATACCCTCTATTATTCTTCTGCAACTGCTTGTGGGTGACTGTGACAGTCATTCAATAAATGGACAAAGGGAATAATATAAATCCCCTGCATCTAGGGAATTCCTCTAATTAGAAGTGGCAATGAATTACAGAAGAAATTTGGGGTTAATATAACATCTGCAAATGACAGCTGTCTCTTCACATACTTATTCTGTCATTCCTTTACTTAAAATAATTACCCACCCCCAAAAAATAGATTAGTGTAAAATATTTCCATAGTGGTTTTGCCTTTGATTTTTATTTACTGCTGGCGTTACAGTCCAGGCAGTGGAGAAGAAAGGAGAGAGAGGAAAATCTTTGCTACCAAAAAGATAATGTTCCAGAGCATCAAGTTCTTCCTCTTTAAGAAATAACATTTCTAAGTGAAATTTTTAGCCCATGCTCTGTTTAGAAGTATTGACAACAAGAGAAAGGAATGTAAAACTATAATCCTAAGTACAAATATTATTGAAATTACCCCACCACCCAAACACCAGATATGTAAAGTCAGAGTAGCAGCAGATGCCACCGGCGCAGGGAAATTCCCTGTCAGGCTTTTTGGCCAGGCTTACAGGACTTGGTGCCACTGTTTCAGACCCACCTGGAGTTGGGGAGTGGGGCAGAGTTTCCTACCACAGCACTACAGAATTTACAGATACCAACTCTGGACGAGGGGTGTGTGTGTTACACACGCACCCCACATGGGGAGAGGAGCTGAGGGTTCCGCAGACGCACCACAATCCGAGTGCGGCACAGCCGGACCCCGCGGACACAAGGCTCGGAATTATTCATTCCCCAGCAGATCCAGCGGCCTCGCCGAGGGTCATTAAAGTCAATGGAGCTGCATCTCGTCAGCTTCCATCTGCACAGGGGCTCTGCCCTGGAGAGGGGTCCGGGGGGGAGGCCAGCGGAACACACGGGGCACGTTCCACGTTCCCCGCTCGGCACGGCTCCGTGCCCCGGCATTAAACACCCATCCGAGGAAAGCAGGGCTGGGATGGTTACAACAAACAGCCTGCTTTGACAGGAATCAACTAACAAAAAGGGCAGAGGGAAAGATCCCCTTCTGCGAGTACTCCAAATGTCACCGCAAGTTACCCACGAAGCAAAAATTAATATTCAGCAAACACCTGCTTCGTCCCAATTTCCAACAGAAAAATCATTATTTCTGTTGCCTGCAGTAAAAGTAGGCAAGGTTAAATAAACCTTCTGAGCACAAAGCCTTCCCCTCTACGGCGAGCAGCACTAGTTAAAAGAGAGGGGAATGGGTAAATTATTGTACCAAATGGCTGAGAATTAATCTCTGATGACGAGCTGCAATCTAACGAGGCATCTGTGTCCCAGGGAACCCGCAGCATGTCCCTGGCGGTATGTGCAGTGCGGAGCCTGCCTGGCATGCTTTGTCCCCTCTCGCAGGCAGCTTTTCCTCTCATTGTTCCCAATATCCTCGTGCATCTGTGACGCGTGGAATGCATTCACACTAACAGACTTACTATTGTCTTCCCCCCGAAGCTTTGTCGGGCAAAGACTGCAGCACGGTTCCTGATAATTATATTGCTTAATTAATCAAGACAAAAAAAATTTGCAAATCATTGCCCGGTTGCCAAGCAGGGAGATCAAAAATGAAAACAATACAAGCTGAACAACATAACAAAAGTAACAGCTATCTGATCAGAAATTCTTCTATAATGAAGCTATTAATGCTAAAGCGGTTAATGTTAACATTGCTCCAGGTGTCTCTACTTGGCTGCAAACAAAAAGGCTAACATTATGGATATAAAAGGCCAAATGTTGCCATGGATTCTGTAACCTGATAGAGAGGACAGCCTTTTCATTCGATTAGGGAATGCAATTTAAATACCAGGGACTGAAGCCAAACAACAGACATTTCTCTCTGCAAGCCTCTTTCATTCACCCTGGGGTCAGTAGCTGGTGAACAAAAGGTCAGCCACACTTGCCCTGGAAATGTCTGGATTAATTTTATTACATTGTAATGGTTTGTACTTTAAATGTAGGGATAACACTAAATTTCCAGTTAGCTCTTATTCTGGCTGCCCGTCGGGTGCTTTTGACTAATATGTAAGATGACACAGCTTTTCTCCGTTGCTCCAGAGAAGTCTCAAGCGTGTTCCTCACACTAAATTCTTAGCTTTTAATGTTCCATTGGGAAAACAAAACACCCAAAAAGTAAATTGCAGAGCTCAAACGGCAAATGTAAGGAAAAATCCCCCATTATTAGAAAATTTTCAAGTTTGAAACATCTACTGACAAACCACTGGTTGTCAATATCTAACAACTCCATCATTCATAACTCAAAAAATACTGTCTGCAGCTGGTAAATACGTCACCTGATGGAGGCATTTCCCACAGCTGGTTACTCTCTTGGACAAATACTGTCCATCATATAAGGGAAATGGTATTTATCTCACTGATTACTGTCACTAAGTACATTTTATATACATTTTTGTGTCCATAATGTACCAGACAAGCATTTACTGCAGCGGCTTTTTCATACCTATGCACAAATGTACATACACACCCCCCTGATATGTTGGAAAAAAAAAAAAAAAGTATTTATTTTCCTCCAAAGCATCTCAAATGTGGTGGCAAACGATGATTTGACCAGGAAACTGTGAACCTCCAACCTTTTGTTTGTCGTCAGGATACCCAGAGCCCACATCATCCCTCCGAGCCAGCCGGCGTTGACGGCCCCACGTGTACGACAGTGACCCCACAGCACACGGGTGTTTTGCTGCCGCTGCCCCACGGTGGAAATGCACAATGCTCTTAAATACTGCACTTTGCACAGAGATTTCTGTGCTTGTGAATTCTGGTGTGTTTCTGTGAGTGCTAATCGTGACCATAAAATGAACGAGCAGGCCCCTGGATCACCATCAGTAATTCTGGTTTTCAAGTACGAGCTCATTGCTCAGCTTTTTGCCTGAGATGGACAGATTGTATTTTGTACTTGCTGGGAAAAAATAACCCCCAAGCTCGAAACCACTGAGCTTTATTTAAGCAGCAGAACAACACATGACAACCCCGGCAAAGCAGCCCAAACGTACCTCTGGTTTCTTCATGATCTCTATGAAAAACATGTGATTCTTCATGGGGTAAATGACGATGAGAACATCCCCAAAGTCCGTGGGGATGATGCCCCGGCGGTAGTTGCGGGTGTGCTCAGACCAGACGATGTGAACCTCATCATTTCCCAAGTGACGAAGCTGCAACAGCAAATTGGCTCTTTATTAATCCGAGTGATAACCACGGTTTAGGAGGGGTCACGGCTCACAAATTGAATTACAATGCTCAATAGTAGGAATATTTCATTACAGAAAAAGTTAAAATATTGTTTTTCTCCAGTTGCTCATGAAAGCATCAGCTCAATAATTTGCTTCATTCACAACAAATTGTTGTCTGATGGCTTAATTAAGTCATTATCAAACTAGCCATTAGCATGATATGTAAATGTACATTACCTACAGTGATTTAAGATGGAAAACTGAATTACTAGAACAAAACATTACCCAACAGAACATCATATTCCAGCTAAAATGAGGCAGCTGTCACAGAAATATGAAATGCCTTGACTCAGGATGTCAAGAGACTGTCTATCACGAACCACTATAACCGAATTTATTATCCACAAACATCTCCTCACTGTGTGTGGAGGGGGTTTCTGCTTGAAACGTCAGCAAAATATCTGGGCAATGGGAGCGAGAGAAGAACGGGAGCTACCTTTTTATTTGGAGTAGAGTTGCATAAAATATGGCTAAAATTTAAACATGACATACACAAAATGCATCTGAGAGCCTGTGTGTGTTTGCTCTGCTACTGGAGGAGCTGGAGGTGATCTAACAGATGGCAAAAACTATTTGGCAATCACGTACAAGCCTAACACAATGGTTTCAACTGTAAGCTTTAAAGTTAAAATGTAATCCACATGCAGAATGCCAGCCCAATGCATAAAGAGAATTTAAGTCCCACTTAAAGCTTAAAAGACACCCCCCACCCCCACAATTTGGTGCTACCCCTGGAACAATGTGCACAATAGACCGAACAAAGAAGCCAAAACGAAGCTCTGCTACTTCACTCTGTGTGGGGAGAAAGAAGAAAGGGAAAAGAAAGTGGTGATTTTCACTGGTAAATAACAACTGAGTTACCCCAATATGCCTCGGATCAGCCCATGTACCAATGTAATTTCCCTCTTCAGAATCAGACAGTGCCTTTAGAAGGAAAAACTTTCACTCCTACATATCGGTGGCAAAATGGACCCCAGACACGAGAGAAACATGGCAAAACCAACACATTATGAGGATGAAAAAGTCACCACTGTGAACTTGGCTTACAGTTCATACTCCAATAAAGTAAAGCTCAGTTCACAGAAGGACTGAGATTTTTACAGTTTATTTTAAATTAAACTGACAATAAAGAGTTGGGTTTTATTTACACCTATGAATAACAGATCATTTTAGTTCTGTTTGAAGAAAACACGAACCCTTCATGTCTTGTAAAAACCACCAATTAACAGTACTATTACTAGAGCTTTTACATGTACAAAACCAGTAGAAACTGCTGTTCTCACAGTCCCCCTGATTTCTGTGCCAAAGTGATTAGACACAAGATGTCACATCTAGTGTTAAAACCCCCCGAAATCCTTCTGGTGACCAGACTGTGCACAGTGGGTTCCAGAGGCTGGGGATGTGGGTGCCTGACCAGGCTGTCCTGCTCCACGCCGATGCCAAGCTCAAACCCAACTCAGCTCCTCTGAAGAAAAGGCTCTATATCACCTTGCTTCCTTGTGGCTTCTGGGGTGAGAAAGAGCACATACTGCTATACAAACAAAGTCACCAAAGTGTGTCCATATACTGCTTAAGGGACGCTTTCTAAAATCCCAGGGAACTGTCTGGATAATAAAACACTTTGCATGCTGCAGACTCCCAAACCACTTTGTGCTGATACCACATCCTGGAGAACAGAATTCCGTGGAGAGGGAGAAGTCAGCTGAACTGGTGCTTGCTGTGCTCATGTGGGACAGGGAGTGATGGCTCAAACCCTTGCAAATGTCCTGTGATACAAATCCCACCTGTGCTGCAATCCCCACTGCATGCCAGCAACTCACTGGAGGGCTTGAGTTACTGCCCTTGAAGTCAACATCCTTAAGAGTCCCAGTGACAAAGTATAATGTTACAAAGAAAAAACAGGTACTAATCAAAAATGTTTGTTATTGAAAGATAATTTCACTGATAAAAAGCCATTATAATAATCTTATCAGTGACAATAAGCCAGCTATTTTCCTGTGCTGTTTATTCAAAACAGCAGCTGTGGGGCAGTCAGTGCCATGAAGGACTCGTGCTGAAAGGTCTAAAGCCCCACAGCCAACACATGTGGAGCCAGAGCCCCAAGGCTGTGCTTTCCACGTGGTTTAGGAGTGGGGGGTAAAGGAAAAGAATACATTAAAAAAAACAAACCCAAACCAAATCAGCCAGGAAATGAGACAGATATTAAAAAGCAGAGCCCAAGAATGGCCCAGCTCAGAGCTGTTCAGCTCAGCGCTGACTGGAGCGATCCCAGCTCTGGAAATGACAGCTGTGTCTCCTCCCGGGCGCGCGGGCAGCACGCGGATTTTGGCTGCCACGGCAGTGATGGCCACGCTCTGGGCTGCAGGGGCCTGGCCGTGCCGTGGGGTCAGTCAGTCCCCCGTCTCTGCGGGCAGCGCTGCGGGCTCCCCACGCCCCGTGCCCACGGCGCTGACACTGGTCACGGTGCACACCTCGGCCTGACCTCCTTTCCCTGCTAATTGCATTACACAGCCAGCTGGCTCCAGAAAGGAGTCGTCTGCTCGACTGAAGAATTCCTGCTTTTGGGGAGGCATGGCTGCTACTTTTGCTAAGTAACAGTGGGGCCTGACATCCCCATTGTCTGCCTGACAGTGCGCCCATCCTAAAATCTAAGTTTTATTTGTAAATTAACCAAGAAACTTCCTGCCAGAGCAGGGCTGCCTGGAGACTGATAATGTGTGCCTTTCATTCCCTTTCACTCTCACTGTATCACTGCCAATTTGTTTTTCTGCTGCTCGCCAGCCCGAGGCCATAAAAGCCTTGTAAGACATAAGTGCAATTATAGTCCTGGAGTCAAATGAATTGGACAAATCCAATAGCACAGCTCTGTCCCCACTCTGCAAAGCCCTACAGCAGTCAGATTAGCTGCTAAAAATCTAATCTAGCCCCAGCTAACAAATTTCTGCAGCGAAGGAGCAAGAGTTCACTATGGGGTTGCAACCAGATTTCTGAATTGAAAAAGTTCTGCTCTGACAATGGAGAAGATGGAATAAATCACCGCGAAATTCTGCAGCACATCTTTAAACCGTTAAGCACAATTTGGGCAGAACAAGACAGGGACAGTAGGATGCCATTCCTGGGATTGATTTTCACTCTTGCTACACGACAGCCAGATAAAGTTTGGAACCAATGATGCTGAACCCTGCAGCAGCAAAAGAGATCAGCTGAATTTTGTTTACTCCACTAGAAAAGGTTTCTGTCAGGGCCAAGATTTATTTAGAGAGGATTTCTTTCTTTCACTTTTTTTTTCTTTCTCCCTGAATTAGCAATACAATATGTCAGCATATACCTCAAATAAAGAAATACAAACTGCAAATCACAACTCTGCTCCACAAAAATAAGGCGCCAAGTTCATCCTCAGAGAAAGTGCACTTATTCTTGGGAATTTATACCAGAAACGAATTTATCCCCATGTTTCGTAAAAGTAAAGACCCACAATAACATATTTAAGTAAAATTACCACATCTGTTTAATGCCCCAGCCCCCAGAATTTATGGGCTGCTGCAGGGCTCCCCAGGCCAGCAGGTGGTCAGTCCCTCTGCTCAGCCAAGCCTTTCTGTAGGTCTGAGGCAACACAAGCAAAGCACCCCAGGAATCGCACAGATCTCAGAGATAAGGGACACCTCAGATCCCAGACAGCATCTGATGGAAGGAAGGGGAGGGCAAGAAAAAAGAAGTTGTGGCCACCATTGCACCCTGCCTGGCAACCTGCTAAAACTTCCTCCTCCCAGTAACACTGCCCTGTATCACCAAGATATGATCGTGTCTTCATTCCAAGACATCAATGCTTTCTGGGTGAAAAGAGCTCTTGCAGTGACAGAATCACGGAGTGCTTTGGCTTCCATTTGGATAGTCAGTCACGCTCAAATGCAGGCTAGCTCATCCATCAGCATTCCAAAGCATTAGAGAACTGTCCATCTTCCAGAAACTTTGCAGTGCTTCTGAAATGCACCTTCTGTCCACTCGTGGCTGCAGTTCTGTAAGATGTGCTGACAGTCGATGCTAATTTGCTCAGAATTACATGTTTGCTCACAACAGAGCTGTGACAAACTGAACAAAACCATTGTGTGCAGAGGCAGAGATTCATGTTAGAAAGCTCTCTGGAAGTCACCTGGTCCAAGCCCCTGCTTGTAGCTCCTGATATCCATGAGCTTGTTCAGAGCTCTGTCCTTTACAGGAATACACAGTTTGATCCCTGCAGGGTTCCATTCCCATAGCAGATTTCAGCCTTTTTTATAAAAGTCTTAGAGCAATTCCTTTGTGGTATTTTCTGTGGATAGTATGTGCTAGAGCTGGCCTGGTTTCCTGGCACTGCAAGACTTGGGAGACTGGCAGCTACTAAATGCTTTTGCTTTTTGTTTCTCACAAAGAAGGAATTCTCTTAGAGCAAACATAGGCAAGACAATTAAATAGAATAACCAGACTCTCAATGTCTGTGATAACCCCTAGCATGGGTGGGAATCAGGAGAACTAATAAAATAGACTGTTTGCAGTTAAATCCTGTTTCTCCCCACGTGGTAACTCCATCACTGTGCTCTCTGCTCTCCCAGATGATGTGTTACTCAGCAGCCACATCGTATCCCAGTGTCTTTGCTTGGCTTCCACAAAACCCAGGAGGCTACGACTTACAAGGGAAGATTAGACTAAACAGACACAATTTCTGTAGGACAAGTAAGACTAGGAAAGACATGGCAGCAATTCTCAGAATGCATAAGTCTGCAGCAAAACAGTCTGCCCTCCGTATCCATGTGGAATAGGGTAGAATCAATGGGCTTAAACTGAAGCAAAGTAGATGCTGCAAGAGATTTTGTCATGGTACAAGAAGTGGAGCATAGGAATATATTGCCTAGGGAAACTGTAAATCAATCATCACTGGAGTTTTGAACAAGCAGCTGGACAAATACCGGTCAGGAACAATAAAAATACACACAGTCCTACCCTGGTAAAGTCACAGACTCTACAGCCCCCCACTACATACCACTGCCCTACTTCTCCATTCCCAAGAACTCAGATTACATTTTTTCCCATAGCCACGTAAATCCACTGATATGAAGATAATGAGTTGCATACAGAAAGAGAAACATGTCATTTTACTGACTTTTTTTAAATGACAGATAGCCCAGTAAAAAAGAAAGGATCTGGTTTTACTATGAAATGCTGGGCAATTTTTTCAGGACCAGTAAGCAGAAATTCCACCTTTATATTTAAAGGAAAAGCACATGTGATTCTGAAACCAACTGGACACTGAATAGAGTCACTCAGTGACGTTTGCAGACTGCTCAGAGCACAGCAGTACCCCTTGGTGGGCTGGATAGCCTCAGCAGCATTACTGATGCACATTAACAACCTCTGCAGGACAAGTTGCCAATCCTAATTAAAAAGGCAGAGATTTGGTATGCCCCTAAAATCTTCTTTGACTCTAAGAAGCAGCTGGCAAGCACTATAATCTCAAATCACTCCTTGTTAGGAAAGACAAAGATTAAGCACCGATACCAACAAAGTTTTGGGCTGGGTTCTGGCTGTCTTTGAAGCAGAGGCTGCTTGTCAGAATTGTGCTTAAGTGGTTACTGGCTTTAGCTATCAGCTGTGGCTGCCTTGGGTCCAGAGCTTGTCACCTCCCTTTTGCTGTGCTGTTCCCCGCAGGATGATTGCTCTTGAAGGTTTTATTATGCTGCATTTGGTTGTTTTGTTCTACCAACCTGCAACAGCTTTGGCAGGCAGACAACATACAAATGAAATTATTGCTAATATTATTACTCATGGTGGTATTTGAGGCTACCATGGAAATGTTAATTGTGTTTCAGAACCCAGAATTTAGATGCCATTTAATTCAGATAATCCAGCTGCAGAGCACCATGTGGCACAGCAAAGATGGGATGCCAGGGCCTGTTAGCATGAGCTGCTTTCAGTTCAAACTTTCATTTAAGCACCTGAAGAGTGTGAAATACACCACAAATTCTTTACCTTTTTGGTCAGTGAATCGTCCGAATCCGACGGCATCCTGGTGGACACGTGGAAAATGATCTCCACGGTGGAGGTAGCGTAGTAGGGAGCGGTCTGTCCCGTGCTGCCGTTGCGCTGCAGGCCGCCCATAAAACCCCCGTGCGTGGAAAGATCCACCTGAGGGATTGAAAGTCAGGATTAGAGGAAATCCGAACAGACTGATGAATTATCAGTATTTATTTCTACACCGAGACTTCATGAATTTACCATTCTAGGACTCTGCAGCCATCCTAGAGAAGTCTTCCCTTAAAGCTCTGTGACCCTTTTGTTAGATGTGCCTTTCCCATTCCTGTATCGGACACTCACTAAAAGCAAATGTCTCTTAACCAGGTCCTGAGCCAGTATCTATCTGATGATTCTGCCTTCTTACAGCAAACAGCAGCAAGGAAGTAACACGTGCTGCTCCTCCAAGGGCTCAGACCTCCCAGTGCCAGCAGCTTCCCAAAGAGTAGAGAGAATACAAAGAACCCGAGAAACTGCAGCAGAAACTAAAGATTTGTGCAGAAAGAAAAGCCTTTGGAAGAAATTATTTCAGAAGCTTATTCAGAAGAAATGCCTCTCTGAAGTCCAGCTTGAGTCCAAAGGATCGTTTTTTTTCCCAGTGGCACCAGCCTGAGGATGGTGCCTCTCCCTTTGAGCCTTGTGAAACTTTGATCCTTCACATACAGCTACTCTGTATTTCCCAAACCCATACATTTTCATGGCACTTACACTGTGACACACCATTCTGACAATGCAAATAATACCCAAAAGCTTCATGAAGAAGCTCCTGTGGTGAGTGTGTGCTCTGACCACATCAAGAGCTAAAAGTAGCTAAATATCAGTGTGTAGTGAAATTTATCTTTTTTTAATGGGAATTAAAAATTATGCAGTGACATTAGCAACATGTTAGTTTGCCTACATTTATGGCTATTACCTCCCAGCCCAGCCCTGCTACAAAATCTTCATATGCCTGGCTTCCCCTCGCGTTGGCCAGGATGGAGCACTTGTCCTCCTGTCCCTCGGCAATGTAGAACACGGCGATCTTGTGAGTTTCACGGCTGCAACGGGACACAAAAAGAAGGTAAAGTTCAAGAAGTTTGAGCTCAAAAACTCCAAAGCTATGAGCAGGTGCCCACATTTAGCTCCATGCATCCATTTCTTTTTTGCACACAAGTCCATTGCTCACTGTCAGCTGCAGAAATAGATTTCTGCCCATTTCTTCTCCTCCCGCTGCAGACACCCCAGGTCTGAGACAGGAGCCGAGGCTGGTCCTTCTGTGCATCAGCCACAGCACTGGTGAGCAAGTTCCAATTACAGGGTTAATGACTCAGAGCTGTGCAGCTTTGCCACAGACAGCGAGGTGGCACAGGTGTTAACGGGAGCATAATCTGACCTACAGAATTTTAATTACAGGCTGATGACATACAAGGAGGAAGAAACATTATTGACTCTTAGATCCTGGGCTCAGTTTTACAAGGCTGACAGAGACAGCTGGCTTCTCTGAAAACAAGCAAAGTGGATTGATATGGAAACTGTTGGGATGCAGTGCTGCAGAGGCTTTTCAAATAGCTCTATGTCCAGTAATGAGAAATACAACAAACATTCAAAACTCCACTCTTGCCACTCCCTGGCTAGGGAGCAGTTCTGGGGAGATCACCCCTTAAAGTACTGCTCCTGATGTGGATCATCCTGAGATAAATGGTCCTTTGTGTCAGCTGAACCAAGGTCACAAACAATTTGGGAACTTCTTCCCTTCCCTCTCAGTTAAGCAAACTGGAAATACGTTGCTCTGTCTTATTATTTGCTACTGATTTGAAATTCGCTGTAATTCACAGAGCCAGTGCAGACAGCTCCTCCATTCGGGCTGCAGAACTCTGGAGAAACAAACAATCCATTTCACATACTAATATTTGTATTGCTAGCATAGGCAATGGCAGGGAAGCTTTCGTTCTGGTGACTCACTCACTCTTCCCTGGGAAACACAAACCTTATCAATGGTGTGTCCAGAACACATCACCTACCATTGGCGGGAATCCAGATTTTTCAGTTCTCGCAGCAATTTTGAATTTTTCTTAAGCAAGTGAAAGCTTTTTCTAAAAAAAAAAAAAAAGTTTTGAAGGCAAATGCAACACCATACAGACAGAGTATTTTGTCATGCAAATACCTAAGTGAAGTGAATCCAATGAACACAACATGATTTTTAAAAATCTTGTTTTCTGAAGTGTGTACACATTTGGGGGTAAGAAGTGAGACGAGTAAGAGTACTGTAAACATGCTCTGAATCCCCTCTCCCTACCTTCTATCCCAGGAGTTCATTCCCAAGTCGTTCAGCAACAGCCGACAGAAATAAAAGGAGGCCTGAGGCTCAGCAGGACGTGGTGGTTCCTGGCGGGCCACCTTCATGCTGCAGTCCGAGCTGCATTTCAGGATGAACTCCCTTTCCTGGGCGCTCTGCCTCAGCAGGGCTTCCATGATGGCCCGCTCCTGGTCGGAGCTCATCCCGCAGGGCGGCGGCGCCGGCTCGTTCAGCCTGCGCTGGGGGTGCAGAAGGCACTCGGGGCTGGTGGCACCGATCTTCTCCAGCAGCTGGTCGAGAGCGTCTTCTCCTTCCTCTGCCTGGGAAAGGTCGTTCTGGGAAGCGAAGAGGTGCTCGGGGTTGCTGGAGATCACGAAGGTGTTGGTGGTGCTCTGCTGTGGAAGGCAGCCCTCCAAAGGGCCGTACAGCATCCGGCCATCCCAAGAGTACTTCCCTGAGATATCCCTGACAATCACCCTGACGTCCGAGGGGGCTGCTGCCGGCTCAGCACCCGCCCTCTTCTCTGCAGGGATTTGGAGGTAAGATATGAGAGTGCTGTCATTGAACACGAAGAGCTGCAGGTTGGGACTCCGGAAGACTTCTGAGGACAGCTCAGAGGACTCCACGTAGGAGTTGTCGTGGTTCTCGCTGAGGAGGCTGTGCAGAATGGCAGGGCCTCCGCTGAGCGGGTAGTGGCTCAGGTGATTCACCAGGTGAGTCATCACCATCCGCGCCGTCAGAGGTATCAATTCTAAATTCCTCCTCCTTTTCTCTAAAACCATCAATGAAAAGATAACAGATCAGTAAGAGCAGCAAGAGGTAATTCAAAAAGAGCAACTGTGGACTTCTGTCACATTACAGCTGCTTGCCTTAGTTGTCTTCCCGATCCTTCCTGTTCAAGGAACTATTCACAAGAGCTTTCCAAGGAATTCTACCTGTCCTGCAGTTTTATTTTATTTTACCACACCCCCACAGCCGGTCCACGCTCCGTGAGCTCTCTTACCCTCAGCAACGGTGAGCAGGTTGCCCAAATCCGTGGAGGACTGGCACTGGGCTGGCTCTGAGCTCCTGACGTTCCCCAGTGGCAAAAACGGGTCGTAGTCATAGGAGGAGAGGTCGGCCAGGCTCAGCACGTAGTGGCTTTGCTGCGTGTACGTGCTGGAGCCATTCACACAGCAGTGCAGGACCTGCCAGGGGACAGCGGGACACTGCAGCAGAAATAAACCCCACAGGACAGTCCCCAACACACCTGGCAGCAGTGCCCCTTCCTCATTCTGACTTTGTGAAAACCAGGACATGCTACAGAAACCATCTCTGGCCAAGTACAGCATTTTAAATTAACACTCACCATCTGCACTGATTCTGTACTTTAACGGCTCACTTCAGGACTTGTTTCGTATTTCAACAACCCGCTTCAAATATTTCTGCAAAGATTATCTTCCTTGGTTTGTTGTTTTAAGCATTTTATCTTTCTCTTCACCACCCCCTGTCTGTTCTACACCTCTAATCTTATCTTCTTAATGTTTTGCATTTGTACTTCTCTCCTGTACGACTTCTGCCCACATTGCAAGAACTCATGATTTTCTAGAGCTTGCCAAAAGTGCTTCTGTGCCTACCAGGGTGTGTGAAAGGCATCTCTGAACATCCAGACACAGTAAATCACTTTCCTTCCCATACTCACTCTGTAAATGTAGTCCAACAAGGGAGCTCTGGATGCATGCTGATCTTCCACGGCACCAGCAGACGCGGGCTCCAGCAGCATTTTCATGGGCAGTGCCATGCACCAGTCCAGCAGGCAGAGCAGCAGTGAAACTATGAACTGAACAAGAACGTGGAACACAGTGTTTAGGTACATTCTGTGGAATTCACCCAAACTTCGAAGTAGGGGTTGGAAAGTGCAGCTCTGGTTCAAAGTGACTTCATTTAAAAAGCACCTCTAAGAGCACAAAGGAGGGATGGAGGCAGCTCTCGTCAGTGACGCACCTTCTTATCCGCTTCCACGGAGGAGTACTCGGCACTCGGCAAGAGGAACGCAATGGTGGCCACGAGGATCTACATCCAAACACACAGATGTCAGAAAGGCATTTAACTTCCCTCACTATAAAGACAGAGTTGGACTTCATGTGCAAAGGGATGGAAAAGGTTCAGTTCCCTCAGGAGCATCCAACTGCCTGTGTCAATCAACATCCAAGGGAAACACAAAGATTTACTGAGCGCTTTGAAAACAAGTCCCGGCAAACACGGGACACACACTGGTCCTGGCACTGCAGCAATTACATCCCTAACGATGTCTGCAGAAGAAGGGACTTAACAAATCACAGCAGCTCAAGGAAGGAATTAAAATAACTTTGCACATGATTTCCCTACAAACATTTTAAAGAGCCTGACGTACCTCAGTGATTTTCCGGCACAGGGAGGATTCGTACTCCTGAAGCTTTTGCCAGTAAGACACCAGCAGCTGAAGAACATCACAGGCTACCTGAGCTACCAGCTTATTGGAAAACTGGAAGAGAAAAGATGATTAAGAGCCAAATAAAATATCCACATACAATACAACGCATTCAGTTTTTCTACATTTTAAATTATTTTGCATCTATACAAACAATAAAAAACATTAATGCTGCAAAACCACCTTGTCAGCATTAGGAATCAGCAGGTTTGACACTGTCTGTGATCTTAACTCAGTTTGCTGGGGAAAGGGTCTTCAGGTACACAAGCACACACCATTTTTGCAAGTAGTCTGCACATTTGTATAGGACACCACACCTGCAGACTGTGCTCCAGATCATCATCAGCTCTTTAAAAAGTGAAAATGCAGTTTTTACACAATGCTTATTGATTAGGGCCGGCCAGAGCTATACCTTCAGTGTCACTCCTATGACATTGATGGCCTTCTTCACGTGGGGATGGTTCGTGCACTGCGTGAGCTCCTCACATATCCAGACTCCCAGGCCACAGATGGCTATGCACCTTTGGTAAAAGGAAGAGTGGCTTTGTCACAAGTTTTAGAAGAATATTTAGGGGGAAAAAAAAAGAATAGAAAGAAAAAAATGCACAAAGATCTTTCTTTTCCAAAACTCTCATGCAACAGGCCTGCACCTTTATGGTGCAGAGTGGGGCTCAGCTTCATAGGACCAAACCACAAGGCAGTGGCAACACCTCAGCTGGACAAGCACCAAAAACAAGTAGCAAGAAAGGTTTTCCAGCTCAAGGACCGGATAATCTTAAAGATCTTTTCCAACCCGATCAATTCCATGATTTTCCCATTTCTTTTACTCAGTAATTTACCTTGCAGCTTCACTTGGCTCCTCTGTAGCATTCTTCAATAAAATATTTATGAGGTAATACTAAAACGACAAAACAAATCAGAATAAGCATGTTTTTCATGCATCTATTTTAAAGTTAATTTTTACATAGTTACAAGTGAAGTCACTTTAATCCTCAGCCTGTTCTTAAAGCACCTTTACCTCATGCCAGCTGTATTTTGTCAAGGGAGAAATACTGATCACAACTCAAGTACACAGGCCCTTGTGGACAAATTGAATCGACCTACAACTCATGAACTCAGGTACAGGCAGCAAGATAGAAATCAATTCATTTTCAGAGCGGAAGAGTGTTTACAAACAATGAGTGGAGGTCACTCCGTACAAACTGTAGTGTTTAGGTTTTAAGTACAGAGAAGACACTGTTGAAATTGAGACAGTTTTAACACTCCTCCAGCAACTCTCCAAGGTCTGCTGAAGAAAGCAAGACTGGGAGCCCAGCGTGCAAAGGGGTTCCTGCATTCCTCTGGTTACCCAAACAGCAATACCCATACACATCTCACACATCTCCTACAGGATGAGCTAATGGACTCAGGTACAATGAATGGACACTTTAAACACCACCTACACCATTTAATGAATTGGCCCTGACAGGCAACTGGCTGGAAAAACATGGCATCTGATCACAGCCAGCTCACTCTCCTTGAAAATCCCACTGGAATTTGCAGTATCTAAGCTTTGTTAACAGTATGGCACATGTCAAGCAAAGCACATGTAACATGTGCAGCTGCAGGTTTGAGGAGAAGGATGGATTCCTTTTTTAACCAAAAAAAGTAAGAATTAAGTAATTGAATAATAAACTTAAAAGAATTAAGTAACTGAATAATAAAAATAGGATAGGTTACCTAAGGATTTACAATGAAATGGGGCTTTACCTTCACATCTGCAGTGCCTGTACTGATCTCACTGGTTTCTGAAATGGGTCCCAAGTGTGGGATTTCCCGGTAGGTGTTGGGAAAGCACACGAGAGCACCAAGGATGGTGTGAGCTTCAGAACGGGGAGCCTAATGAGGGGCAAGTAAGCAGAAATATTAATTAGAGAAACCATCATCCATGAGGATGCCATCAGCTCTGAGGCCAGGATGCATTGCCATACTCAGTGTGCTGGATTCACAAGGCAGCACTAAAGTGTTCCAGGACCTTTTCCTTTTCTTTTACAGCTCCAGTAACAGTTGTAGGAAGGCAGTGACTAACACACACCTTCCTGCCCGTGCTTTTTGCTGCTGTGCTGCTCTGTTCTCTTTGTGAGGCTGAGCTGCTCCTCCAGCAGGCACCTGGCCTCGCTCCTGAGCACATTCTACATCTTTAATACCTCCTCTGTCATTACTCAATACAACAATCTGGTATCAACTGGAAGTACAGAACCACCTGAAGAAAAGCTGAGTGAGAGGCTGAAGCACTAATCCAGCACTGCTATTACATGATCCTGTGACACAGAAAGTGCACAGTGCACTCATACTGACTGCATAGATGATACCAATGTGCAGAGAGAGCCATATTCAGTAAAACCATCAAAAGCACTATGGCATAGCTAGAAACACATTAATTACCGTGTAATGTTGAAAATACAAGAAACACCCAGTTTTATGCTTGTAGGAGAAATGGAAGATGGTGTTTTGGTTTGTTTCCTGCCATGGAAAGTTGAGTATTCATTTCTTATTAGCACTTCAGGCTTTGGATCAACGATGTCGATCAGACTCTTGGAGGGCCGACGGAAAAAAGCATTGCTGTGACAGCAGCCAGGAGAGAGTTCCTCACGCCTTGGCCTTTCAATGAAACCCCTCTGCAATGCCAGGGTGGCACCCTGTCCCACAATTTCCCCCACCAGCTGCCATGGCACTGGCCCCAAAGCCCGCCTGCAGTAACAGCTCGTTAGCGTCACTCCCGCCGCGCTCACCTCCAGCGTGTCCGCGCGCAGCACCCTCGCTGCTGCCGCCACGAAGTCCCCGATCAGCATCGTGAACCCAGGCAAGCCCAAGAAGAAAAACCAGGGTGGGCAGTGCTTTATGACAGTGTTCAGGATATCCTGCAAGAGAAGTTACCTGTGTGAGAACAAAAGCCAAAACGAAAATAACCCACAGAAAGAGCCCAAAAGCGAAAGGGAGAGTTTGAGATGATTTAACTTTGAGGTTCACCATCCCACACTAACTAAGGTGCAAATTCACAGAGCTCACGGGCTGTGTGTGCAAACTGACTGTGATGTAATCAGCACCAGATGCATGGAGCAGCAAAAGTGCACTGGGTGTTTTGATTAAGATTTCTACTCTTAAACTCCTGTTAAAAACCCAAACCCACAGCCACATCTCTCTCTGTGCCTAAGCACAACCATTCTGTTAAGTAAGACTTTGGACTCAAAACACCCAAACCTCTAATGGATTTAAGACGAGGCACTGCAGCACTCCAAAGGAGCGAGTTCCTAAATTGCTTCACTCAAAACTCTGTGCCACAAGAACACAAGCTGACCCCAACACCTGCTCCCCGTGCCCCGAAGGAACAGACCAGCACCCCCAGCTCTGCTCATCATCACCCTGTGACACAGCATGATCAAGATAAGCATTTCATCCTCAATCCTTACACGTTTCAAGTCTTCACAGTCTCTCCGAATCAGGGTAAAGTTCCTGGATTTGAGTTAAGATTTTCTTCCTGCAAGCTTTCAGCAGGTTTACAATTAGCCATAAAATCTATATAATCCTTACCTGTAACACTGTATTTGCTGGAGAGTTAGATCAGGCTATTTCTATACTGAGTAGAAAATTATTTTTCACTCCCTAAAATTTTGAAGGAAGGTTACAAAGGACTTTTCCATGTCCACCCTTACAGTTTTAGCATGTGTTAAGGAAGGCCTGAACTTGGGAGTCCTAGAATGTGACCATGTGCTCAATTTCTACAGCAGAAGCTAAAGCTGACAAACCCAATTTTCCCTATATGAAGAGATGCTTTAAGATCACCGCTGTTTTATCAGCCCTGCTAAACACCTGCACATCCCCTATTTAGTGTTCCACTGTTTTCAACACCAACATCTGATGAAATAATCGCTATATATTAAAACTAATACTATTTATTTAAAAACATAGTAGCAGATAATGCTTTCACTTTCCTGAATAAGCTAAAATGCCACTCGAGTTAATGTTTAAACTAGTTTTAATCACTTCCTTTGATACCTTTTAAGTCAATATGGGTCAATGCAAACACTGAGAATGCAGAGCAGATGGATGCAGCAGCTCATAAAGCGAGTGGTAAACTCACCGTCAGAGCAGAACAAAGGACCCACCTTTTTATAATTAAGGGCCTGATTAGCACAGGGGGCTGGTCGGCACAGCCACACCTGCACAGCAGGGCCAGGTACGGCCCAGGCTGGTCCTAATCTCGGGCAGCAGATGGGAGCACGCGTCTGTTGACACGTGCCCCGATAAAGGAGCCCGGGATAACCTGGCCGCGGAAGCACCGGGACTGCTCCCGACCGCTGCATTAACTCCTGTCCTCACCCCACCGCTCCCATCTGTCACACCCAGAGCAACGGCCGCAGCCCCTGCGCAGAGCACTGCCAAAACCAGGAGAAAGATGGAATCACACAACTGTTACCTCAATATATGAATGCTGAGACTACACACACATTCCAAAATGCTGGAGGAACGGGGCTGCAGGGATCTACTCGCTGCTTATGAGATATACTACTACCAGGGGAAAAAAAAATAATCATTTTCCATAGTAAGAAACCTTTGAAAAATTTACTTTGAGAAGCTACGGAACCAATCCTTGGTTTCCCTTTGAATTCCCAGCATGGGCTGCACGCTGTCATACGCACACAGGGCCCGGACCCACCCACTCTGCCAGGCTGTTCCCACTGCTGTGGTTCATCTCAGGCATCCCAGTGGGCACTTGGGATGGTCGGAGTGACTTCACTTAAACTAAGACAAGGTAGAATATATCCTGGCTACGGAACTGTCCTTCTGCTGGATGTGACTGCACGGCAAATGGACAGAGCCACGCCACAGGAGCTCACAGGTGATCCTGTCAGGCTTTCCCCCCTTTCCCAGTCCGCACATTTCCCTGCACGAGCCAGCTCGCAATAAAACAGGATTTCAGGCAGTAATTCGGTAGCTTTGGGAGCTTATCAGCAGAGAGAGGCTTGTGAGAAGGCGAGGGAGCGAGAACATCTGTGCTATCAGTGATACTGCAAAATCAGGTAATTCAAACAGAGCCCAGGCGCTTCCTTCCCTCCTGAGCGCGGCTCTGGAAATGTAAACTCTGGGCAGCAGCTCCAGCCTAGTCAATGAATCACTTTAATTGAATGCTATGTACACAGCAACTGGAAAACACAAGCCATAAGAAAAACATATGGTGATGGCCATGGAAATTGGTTTACTCATTCTGCACAGTGTTGTTTCTTTACTTCTTTCATAATTGACCTTTAGAACGATAAATGTGTAAAATCATTTTGGTTTATTATGGCTCCAAACCTTTCAGCAATTACACAAAATGAAAATTTAAAAGGAAGTATTCATTCTGGAAGCATTTCCATTGTTTACATAATTGCACAGCTATAATTTAGTGTTCATGTTGTTAAAGAAAAGTGAAAAAAGGACCATTATGGACTATTTCAATTCAAAATGATGCTCTGTAGTGTTAAAGCTGGGGAGAGGGGGAGAGGAAGGGGCAATCACATGCATGTCCTTCTCAAATGCATTAACCCTATAAATGGCATCATATTTCAGTATAGGTTAATCTAGTAATCCAAATTATAAGGTCATAAACATCCACTGAGTAAGCAAAATAAATTTATGCAAGTTCACTGAAAGGTCAATTGCAGAAATATTCTTCACCTAATTTTTGTTCAAGCTTTTGCAGATTACAGGTGTAACCAAATAGCCTGCCAGCTGCCTTCCTCACGTTTCCAATTGTCTCTCAACAGGAACAACATGGATTTTTCACTGAAAGTTCACCCTGTTCCTCACTGAGAGACACCTCATTAGTGGCTGAGATTTACAGCACGGGAAAGATTATTAATTTACATGAGACTTAAGTGGTAAATCCTCCCTTTTCCTTTCTTACTTTAAAGGAACAAATGCTTCCCTTTACTTACTCCAAGTTTTCCTACCTACCATTACATTTTAGGCAAGAGTTAACATGTCAAAAATTAAAAATTTGTAAATAAAAATTTGATAACCTCAGGAAACGAACAACAAGCTCATCAGAAACCTCCATTCCCAGGTGCCAGTTAACGCCTGACCTCCAAACAAGCTCCGTTTTCTACAGCCGAGGCAGCCACTGGAATTAAGGACTGAGCAGTACTTTGGTTCATACACACCAGGAGAGCAGTTCTGAGCACTCCCTGGACACAGGGACAGAGGGGTGGGTGCCGAGGCCACGGCACTGTCTGCAATGTGGACGTGACTTTGTGCCCCCACACGGATCTCTCCCCAGTGCCCGTGGCAGGACTGCTCCCAACTGTCCCCCAGGCAGCACACCGACTGCAGAACAGGAATTTGGGTGGGATGGAAGCAATTAAGAAAGGGTAAATGTATTAAAGCAAAATAAACAGAAGAGAACCAAAGCATCAAAATCATTCTGGAACACGCAGCTCCTACAACTAGCATGACCTGGCTCCCCCTTGCTTTCAGTCAATCTTCCAGCTATTTTCTCCAGCACTTCCCACTTCCCCCGCTCTGGGTGAGCAGAGGGGGATGTGAGAGTTCCTGTGAGACCCTGGCATTTGGACTTTTGTTTGTCCCTACTGGAAACATGCTGTCTGTTAACACTTTTTCAAAGCACTCAAAGCCCATAATGGGGGCACACTGGCAAATTTTCTACAGAAAATGAGATAAGGGGGGATTAAAAGAGGGAGAAAATCATGGTAGCCATTGGAAAGAAGTCTCAAGAAGCTAAAATAGGGGAATCTAAGCCTTAATAGACTATATTAAGATGATTTCCTTTTAAATGGCAGCTTGGGAAAGAACCTAAACAGCTTTATGGTTTCTGTACAACTAAGGGTCCTTGTGTGCAACGCCATAAGGCAGAAATCCGGGCAAGAAGTACCCATTCGTGGGGGACAAAAGCAAAGGTACTTATTTATTGTACCTTTAGAAGGCTATTACAAGTCCCAGTGACAGCCTACAGGCTGTACACTGCTCCTCACTGCTGAGGAACAACTGTACAGGAAGATAGAAAAGCTCACAAATACTTCTTTATTAAAAGTCAGACCAATGTTAATACAAACAATAATTAATGTGGTTTCTCCAGTAGCAGCTCTACTGTATTATAAATTACATTTCCCACACCAAGAGCTCCAGTCAGTGTTTCTACATAAGCTTACACAGAGCTGCTGCAGCAGCTTCCTTTCCATAATTACCAACCGGGCATTTTAAACAAATAAAGAGGCTTATAGACACTAACGTCCACTAGCACATCACATCTCTATTGACAGAGTATTTCATCCACGTCATCCTTTCACTACTAAAGGGAATGGAGCTACAAACAAAGCTGTTAAGTGCCCTGGCTGCAGCCAGACTGGGCTCTGTGAGCAGGCCTGCTGCATGTGCTGACATTTAATCACCCAGGACATCTGCCAGCTCTGTTGGATTTGGGCTGGGTTTCTCTGCTTCCATATTTAAAGTTTGTTCTGCCCTTCACATCACTGAACTGAGAAAGAGACTGCAGTGTCTCCCTCCCTGACTGTCTGTTGTCCTCTCCACAGAGAATCTCTCAAGTCTCTACATTTTATTATGTTCCTTAAACATGTAAGCATCCTATTCCAAAGATACTCTGGCAAGTAAGTGTGACTGCACATTTATTAAAGTTTTTTGTTAAAACTCACTTCCGACGTCAGGGCGACACCTGACCCCTTTACTCACTTTGCAGGTCACCTCTGAGTGCTGGGTGACCCCTCGGTGCTGGTGACAGGGACACCGAGCACAGGAACTGATGCTCCCCCTGACAGGAGGGTGGCACTAAAGAAATGACACTGAACAGCTGAGGGTTTGAAAGCTGAATTGGTTTGAAAACCTGCCGCCTCTTTGGAAAAGGTAAGAACCTCCCCTGCACTGCGCTCTGCTCTCAGACTGAGAGTGGAAACTTAGACAGAAACATGATGGCATCACAAAAATCCACAGGATTCCCAGGAGAAGCCCCCCCAGCAATCTCCGAGGATGATTTCAGTGCCAGAAGGATCCGACCTGAGGAATCACAATTACCTCAACGGCCGCTTTTCTGAGAAGGGGCCTGAGTAGTGTTTGTAGCTTTCTGGGATTGTGTTTTGATACTTTTGCTCTTCAGCAAAAAGGAGGAAGCTATGGAGCAAGGAGATGCTTAGGGACTTTTTCAGGTGAATGAAGCAAAAACTACTGCTACAGTAAGCAGCCAGTAGCAATAATAAAATGGCAATAATAAAATACATTTCCTTTTCCAGTTCAGGTATTTGTGAAATTTGTGCATTGCAATGTTAAACTTTGGGTTAATTTAGAAAGTTGTACTTATTGTCCAAATCAAAAGACACAGATAGTTGCAGTGACCCTCAGTGAGCTTCATTCATTACAACTCAGGAAAGCCCTGGCTCCCTCCAGCAGCAGAGCCATGCACTGTGTGGAGCAGGGCAGGAGGGAAGCACCACCCGCAGATGGTCCCTTGCCCCCTGACCTCGGGGCCCTCCCTGGCTGGAGGCAATCCCAGCTCCAGACCGGGGCTCAGAATGATGCAATGGCTTCCCCCACCTGGAAAGGTGATGCAATTCTTGCAGAGAATTGTTCGTTTCTCCAGAGGTGTTTGTTGTTAGACGCTGCCACACGGACAAATTAGCTGCAGCTCATTACCCCGCTGTCTCCTCTGCTCAGCTAATTGCATCGTCCTGATCTCGGCGTGCCACGGGAGCCTCCTCTAAAATACACCCTCACACTGCTCTTTTCTGCGCCCCACGAGACCAGGCTGCAAAGTTAGGCTGCACTTGCTGGGAATAACATTGCGTTCATTTATAACGTACTCAAAAATACATTGTTTTGTTTTCCTATCAGCACCAAAAGCTACACAATACAGCAGAAATCTCCTATGCTTATGTCTTTAAGGGAGGAGTGAGAAGAGAAATATATTTTAAAAGCTGTTTCTGATGCAAAACAAAATATTGAAAATCATATTCAGGTCAAAGAAGTTTCTGACTGAAATATTTTTAATTCTGTAGCCACCTAAGCAGTTGAAGTAGTGATTTCCCCATTAATGCTAGAAGTTGCACCAGTGATCCGTACAGAAGGGAAATTCCTCCATGAGATACCTCCCCCCCTTCCTTCTGTGCATATTCCCTAAAAGTGAGAAATTTCTGTCTGTGCTTAGCAAACGAAAGCAACCTGTACTAAAAAAATCTGCACCCAAGTTTATTTTGATTTGCACTAACTGGAATCCTGGAAACCATGATGGGATCCACATTCCAGAGATCCTGTGCCTCTGTTGAAACAGGGTCCCACCAGTCTCAGCACCCAGCAAGCACCCTGGTGCCAGTCACCCTGGAAATACAGGAGCAGGTGTGAGGGTCCTGCTTCCTATGAGCAGGTTGCTCCAAGGCTGTGAGTGAACTCCTCACCCAGCTCCACAGCTAAGGAAAACAAAACGGGAAGGACAGTCACACGCGAGCAAAGCTGCGGTCAAGTGTGCCACCAAGAGGCAGCACAGCAAACCCCAGCCAGGAGGGAGAACAAAGAGCAGCAGCACAATATCCAGGAACCCTGGAGCGCTGTGCAGTGTGGGAGCTGCCAAAGACCTGGGACAGCCCGGAGTGCTGTGCAGAGTCGAGGCTGCCTCCACTGCTCCCCTTCTCTGGCTGCTGGGTTGTTCCTCTGTCCAGTGTGCTGGGGCTTGTGTGAGAGGCTTTATTGCTGGGCAGGGGGGGGTCAGTTCAGGGCTCTGACCCCAGCGGGTGTTGCCAGTCTCTTGTAGGGACTGAGGGGACTCTCCTGGATCTGACTAGAGTGAGAGGGAAGTGGAATGAGCTCTTGATTCCTCTCAGGTGACACACAGAGTGACAAAAAGGGGAGTTCCCACTACACTTCCATTTTTCCCTGTTTGTGCTTTAGAAATGGCAGATACTGGTGTTTTTTTCCTAAGTTGAAGTAGCAGCTGGGACTCCTGGGATTTTCCAGAAGAAAAACCTTTCCTTTCTATTCTTATCTATTTAAAAGGAAGATTTTCCAAACACTCTAACATTTCAGGAGGGCAAACGAGGGGCAAGAGTCTGGTAACAATTCATTCTTTCTCTCTTCCATCTCAGAAATAACCAAACATGTCCGGTTCCTAAAGGCACCAGTAATAATTCCCAGGGTATCCCAAGGGGTCCCTGTGCCCTCTGCTGCCACCTCCAGTACAGCCTCAGCCCACCTTCTGTCTCAGTTCTCCCTTCAGCCCCCTTGGCACCCGCTCAGGAGAGCTGGGATGGCCCTTCTAAATACTCCCCGAAGGACTCGTGAAAAGGGAAAGTCTGGAGGGGACAGCATTAATTCTGTTTTTGTTCTGAGGATGCCCTTGCAGCCAACGGCCCAGGGCACTCAGAAGGGCATGCTGGGAGCCATAATACGTAAGTTTTCATCAAGCAAAGCTCGTACCTGGTCCTCACTTGTCAAGCCGAGGCGCATCACGAAGTAGAAGTGGACGAGGAAGTCGGAGTTGGGCAGCACGTCCTGGCGCCGGGTCATCATGGCACAGAGCAGCCGGAACGCCTGCAGCTTGCCCTCCTTGTACTCGCTGGGCAGCGTGGCTGCCTGCAGACACACACACACGGGGTCAGCCCTGCCCCTCAGGAGCCAGCTAACACAAAGCTGCCCCTCCAGCAGCTCTTCAGAAAGCAAATCTGCTCCATGTGTTTATTAACACATATTCAGGCCCAAAGAGCCTCTGGAGGATGTTTGTCAACTTAGCCGGCAGTGATTGTAAACACCAAAAATAACACAACTAAACACACACCAGAAAACGTGAGAATTTTGGAACGAACTTACCTTGAACAGCCACGATGCAAATATCCTGAGAGGCGGGATTAGGATGGGAGGAGAGGGAGTGGACTGATTGTCCACGCTGATAGCAAGGTTGTCCCTTATCTGAGGGTTTGAAAAGAAGAGTGTTAAGAAAACTGACAGCTTACTTTTCCAGTGTTCTCTATATCACACTGTTACATTTAAATCTTATTATATCCATGTTCAGGCACTATGCCCTGCACTGTACCAAGTTCCTACTTCAGCCAAAGCTGCAAAGCTTTTTTATGGTGCTGCTCCCCGGCCGAAGGAAATGTACCAGTTTGGGTCACACTGTGGGCCTTTACACAAGCACCAACACCTGTGGTATTCTGTTCTTTGCTACTCTTCCCTCAGCCCATTTAAGTGAGTCATTTCAATTCTCTTCTCACTGGACAGTATCATGCTCCATTAGGTATAGATACTAAAAGTCAAACAGGATCAGTTTCCTTTATGACAGAACCCTCCCATGCCATGCTAATGCTCCAGATGCTAACACTGAATCATATTTAACAATACTTATTAATAATTTTTACAACAAAAGAGAAATCATTTGCATTACCTGTAAGCATCACGTACCTTTGCAAGTTTATACCACAGCTCATAAAGGTACCCAAAAACTTTTGCGTGGATTTTAGGTGACTGTATCTTGTTCACATCTCCAAGAATTCCCAAGATCCTCCTCCATAACACAGCAGCAGAATCAGGATGCCAACCAATAAGGCTTCCACCAGCAATTATGCTGCAGTCATCAGCAAGGAATTCACTACTGTCTGTAAATGTAAAATATTCCATTTGCATGAATCAGAAATGCAGTGTAAGCATAAAATAAAACAGGTCAATAAAACAGGAGCTTTAGCCCTTCTAACCAACTTCCATCTCAAAACAATTCTCTCCCTCAGATCTGTTTTTCATTGCTCAAGCTGCCCCTGATTCAAAGAAAAACATGGCAGAAAATGGAGGCAGAGGGGCTTCACATCACAGTGCCACAGAGCAGGGCAGTTCCAGATCAGACTGTCCACGTTCCAGGGGATTTTCAAGAGAGGCAAATGCAGTTCAATGGAACAATCATGTGCCCTGAGAGATGTATTCAATCAATAACTGGCTTTTATTTCTATTTCTAAAAGCCTTTCCTTTTTTAAGATCACACGGTATAGGATGACCTGGAAATGCAACTGAACAAAGGAGTAAAAACCTGTGGATGAGGAGTCACGAGGAATGTGCTCAGGCATCACCACTCAGAGAGCAGCTCCTGAGACTGCAGCGTGCCCAGTGAGACAGAGAGCAGGGCTGGACAAGAGTGTCAGGAGAATGGAATTAATATTCTGACACAGTAAGAAAGCAATCCCTTACTCCGTAGTGCAGAGTACATTTCAGTGACAAGAGCTGCTGGCTGCTCTCCTGCCCCAGCAGAGCCTGTCACAGGCAGGAGCACTCCGTGCTCCAGGTGTACCTGCAGCAGCCAACATCTGCAGGGCAGCTGCAGGAAACCTCCACACACAGAAGGAAATAACTCATGTCCTCCCAGGATCCAAGGAAAGTTAGCAAAATAAAAACCATTTTAGATGTTTTTGTGTTTGCTTGAATTTATTTAAAAAAACAAACTTTGGGGGATTTTTTTTTCCTTTTTTTTTTTTCCTCCTTGTAGCATTATGAAGTCAAAGTGCTAAACAAATGTTATTTATTAAGCACATTAAAACTGGGCTTAGAAACCCCTCAAGACAGTGGCGGGCTGGCCCAGAGGCTCTGTGGGTGCAGTACCTGTGAGGTTGGCGGGCTCTGAGGGGCTGAGCTGCAGCCAGCGCGGGGCAGTGGGATCCACACACACCTCCGCGGCTGCTCCGGGATCAGGATCATCCTCGGCCGCCTGCCAGGGCAGCAGCGCGATGTCCACGTCGGCACCGCAGCCCAGGGACGCGTCGCTGCTCACGCTCTCACCTGCACGGCACAGAAGCACACGAGCGTGGGCCACGGGGCCACATCAGCACCAGCAGAACAGCGTCTCCTGTCTGCAACCACCACAGCTGTGATGCTGAGTTCAACTGCTTCGCTTTACAAAAGCACCGTGTTTCTCGGAACTCACTTTTTTCTCTCTCCCTGTAATTCCCATAGGAAGGCTGAAAGTCTGCTTTGAGATCTAATTCAGCTGTACTGCTGCTCCTTCGCAGTAGCACCTGCACAGAAAAAAAGTCAGCTCGGCTTTTTACAGCTTTGAGAACTACATCACGTTTTAGCAAATCTGACGCACACAGAGTTATTAGAAATTAATTACAACTCAGCCAAGATATTCTCATGGATATTCAGACTACCCGAGTGTCTGTAAGTGTCTCTGGGAAAACAAACTTTCCGTGTCAGTCTTCATCCTCCCTTTCATAACCTCAGTTTACACACCAACAACCAGGACCTTTTACTTGTGTTTTTCAACACACCTGAAATAATTCAAAACTTTATAAAGCATCAAAAGATCTTTCAGCTTTCATATTTTAAAGATGAAAGCCTGAGTCATTTATTGTTTTGACTGCTCATTCAGGAGTTGCCATTAAAAATGTATGAAGTTTGCCTGTCCTAATGTCAATTCACACAAACATCTGCCATGCACGGCTGGTGATAAAACTGTGCTGAAGAGAAGCATTTTCCCCACTACTTTAAACCATCAAACATTTATTCCAGTGTACTGTAGCTCTATAATAGCCATGAATTATTTATATCTTAAAAGTTATGAACTTCTTGTTGATGTTTAATATTTTGAAAGAGCACAAAAGTCTTGCAGAAAACTAGAACTACATAAACCCATAGAAGCAGCTGACGAGATCAGGAGACACAAACTGACCACACCAAACAGTATAATCAGCAGTTACAGCTCAGTTCCACATTCCACACCAGAAACGTGATTAATGATTTTTCACACTTTCGCTTCCCAGAGTTTCTAAATGCTAAAAGGCATCTGATTTAGAAATACAAAAACCACTTTCTGGTTCGCCTTACTTGTTCAGCTTCCTCCTCCTTCTTTGCATGTCCCTTATTTTCCTGAACTGATTTGGAGTCTGAAGTTGAATTATGAGAACTTCCACCCTTTTTACCTAGAAATTGTGGAAAGTAAACAAGAATTACAGACATTTGTGGTACCAAAGTACATAGCAAGCCACATGAAGATTTCACTGACATGTCTCGAATTTATAGCTGAGGGAGGCAATACAACATTCATGTGGGATACAAGATGTTTTGAAAAACCCTTTAGAAGCATAACAGACCTACACAGGAAGAACAGAACTCGACTTGCACCTTGAATACACTAAATTTAAATGCAAGTCAGGTGAAAAAAAGTTGAAGAGTTATATACAAAAACGTATACATTCCAGGCTTCATTTTTATCCTCCCTGCTTTATAAAAGGTCATGTCCTGCAGTTGTGGTCTTGAACTTCTTAAAAACAGTTCTTTCAACAAGATACCAACTACATATTTACTAAGAAAACAAGATAAAAACCATTTTAGAGGAGAGCTGGAAATCACAATAAATAAGAGCAGCATTTATGAGTCTGAACAAGTCTCAACACTTTCTCTTCAGAAGTACAGCACTGCTGCATTTCACCAAAATTACCTTGAAAAAAATCAGATGGAATCTGATCTGCAATATCTGAAGTGCTGCTACTGCGAGTCAGCTGCTGTTCCTGCTCTGCAAACGGGCCCACAGCTTCTGTTGCTTCTGAATTTTCCAACTGTTGAGATTCTTCAACTTCTGTTGATTTAATTAAAACACAAAATATTTGCAGGAGCTCAGGATTATACACGTCTACATGTGTGAAGTCCCTGTGTAAGAAAGCTCTCTGAAATAGTCACCCTTGCAAATATTTTAAATTCTTACGTTTACAAGTAGTTTACAAGTTATAATATAAGTTTTATAAAATATCCTTAGGGAAGTTTTAAAGTTTAGAGAGAGATGCACGAGCAGAGTGAGCAGTAAGAAGCCTACACAAGGACAGAAATTACTTTGGGGGTTCACAGGAGGAAGGGAGGGAGGATGTCCTATAAGCAAAGCTGGGTTTTTCAGTGCTGGAGACCCAAACTGGCCCCTGTTCGTTCTGAACAGAGCAGGGGCAGCAAAACCTCTGTAAATGCTGAGCAGGAGGTGGCTGCACTCCCTGCCTTTGCCTGCAGAAGGAGAGGAAGGGAAGAATGAAAAAAGGCAACACCTCGGAGTGAGAAAAGCCCTGAGGTACACATGACTGTGTATACACACTGACTCAGGCACAGTTTGGGAGGACAAACCCACTCATGTAACTGCAAATCAGAAACAGAGAGAGGCATGAAAATTCCAATGAGAAAGTAACTTGACATGCTGGGGAAGGAGTAACAGGAACTCTTGGAATTAGGGAGCAACACAGTGCTTTTAGAAATGCATTTCTCTTGGCATTAGGGGAAAAAAAACCCAAAACCCAAACAAAAAACCAGCAACACTCACATCAAGTGTGTTCCCATCCAGCAGTGTGCAAGTTTAAATACTGTTTTACTACTTAATAAACATGGCAGGTATTTCAGAAAGTTATCTCACAGAGGCACATGCACAAAAGCTAACACTTCTGGTATTTACTGACCTTAGAGTATCACTGTTGACTTGAAATTACTTACAGAAACAAATAAAAGAAAGCAATCAATGTAATTCACTAGCTGGAACAATTCCAGAGTTCCCCTGAAGACAACTTGAGATGAAAACACACCAAACATATTTTACAGAGCAGGAATCCCTACAGAGCCATAAAGCACCACACACAAAACTCTCCTTCTCTTGCTACTGCAGCTAATGCCCTGGGTAGGACTCAGGAGTCCTCCCAGGAAGAGAAATTTGGGAAATTTTACTTCAGTTACTAGGGAATATAAATCTAATTGCAAGTGATGGTAATCTTTCCTATTAAAATGAACAAAAACTGTATTGCTGCAGTGCTACAAAATGAGAAGAATCAATTGGACAGAAAGGGAACAGACAGACAGCAGTTTAAAAATACAAAGGACATTGATAGAAAAGATGACTTTAAAGTACAGTACCTGACAGTCTGTGAGAGCAAGAAGTGTAAGAGATACCAGGGAAGAGAGAGCTCACAGTGTGAAGCAGAAGAGGTACACTTTTAGTAGCTGGCAAAGCCTCATAAAGGTGGACACAGTTGCTGATAGACTGGCTTCGCTTAGCTTCCAGGGAAAAATAAAGCAATAATTATGTCAGACAAAGGAATGAAATATTTGGGTTCTAAATTTCAAACACAATGCTTTGGGATAAAAAAACTACGAGCAACTTTCCCCACAAGATACAAGTTAATAATGTGCAACTGCATCTCTCACACTGAAAGGGCCATAACTAGGGATTTCTGAATCACAGCAAAGTGTGGAAGTGTCTTTAATTTGAACACACACAACTAAGAAAAGTCCTGGATCAACACTTCCAGGTTCTCCCTACTGCTCTAACAGGAGAAATGCTGCAGCAGAGCAGAGAATCCTCTCCTGGAGCACAAACAGGGACCCGCTGAGTTTGAAAATAAAAGAGAGAATGAAGTGATTCTGTTGCTGAAGTGTTCTGTGATCCCAGCTGAAGGCTCTGGCTCAGTTACAGAGCCTGCAGCCACAAACCACTCTGAATGTCCTTCAAGTTCTCCTGGCAAGGACCACAGCCAGTTCGGAAGCAGGGAGGGAGCTGTGCAGCCAGACACTCCTGCTCAAAGGCAGAGAATTTCTGGGCAGAGCTTGGATGCACAGCCCAGTGAACTGGCACACAGGAAGATGCTACCAGGAAACAAAGAGAGGCCAGTTCAGGCTGCTGAAACGCTCCAACAAACAGGGACCTGGCCCATGTCTGGGGTCTCTGACATTTCCCCAGCATTCCTTACTCCAGTCTCCCTTCTCCTGCTTTCCTCTTTCCAGAAGTAAACATGAGAGAAAAACCTCATCATGATAAGAAAAAGAGAGAAAATAAAGCAACTATGACAGGATACAATTGTATATTAAATACCTGGTTTATTATGTGTGATTGTCATGTGGCTGATGGTAACATGCTTTCTTATGAATGGATAAAAACAGTAATGTACTTCACAAAAAGCCCTACCATGCACAGGTCCAACTTGCAATTCTAAGTCCTGTAGCTAAAAGTTTACATTTAGAATTCCCCAAAGTACATTGACTCCATGTCTCCCACTGGTCAAGACATCCAGGTGCAGGCACACAACACCTGTTTGGGCAGGTAATTACTAAGTTGCTTTTGGCAGCAGCCACACCCCAAAGGCAGATATAAAACTTGTGCTACTGAGCGTAGGGGTACAAAAGCACTTAGTTATGGTCTAACCTGTCGCTCTCTGACGAACAATATTTCGGGCTTTCTCAACTCCTGGGGCCCCAGAGGTTGTAGCGCTTCTGAATCTCATCGGCTCCACAACTTCAGGATGACTCTTCCAGCTTAATGAAAAAGATCTTCCCACCACTGCTGTCTTCTGAGGCTCTAAAATGCCACCTTAGGACAAAGAACACAACACTCTCTGGCACTGGATGCTTTGGCATGTATTTCTGCTGAGGGATGAAAGGACTCAGACGTGACAAATATTAATAGTTTCAACAACACAGATGAGTTTTTACTATTAATAAAAACCAATTGGTACTTCAACTCTGTGCCTCAATTTCAAGGTGGCATGTAAGTGCAGCTAAAAAAAATGTAAATAATAAAGTTTATTAATAACACAGGGAAAGGAATGTTTACAGAGATGCCTGTGACATTCTATAGCACAAGAAATCACCTTTCATTTCTGCTACACAGAAAGCACTGACTGTAAGCACATACTCAAACCTCAACAGCTCCCTATCTACTCTTGACCCCAACTACCTCTCCTCCTCAAGGAAGGATGACTACAGAAATCCAAAGTGCTTCACATTTGATTAAACAGGTTCTTACTCTAGATTAGGTAGCATTTAATGTTAGATTAAATTAATTTTAAAAATTAAACTTAAATATTTAACTTGTTCGATGCAGAAAGCCCTGAGCACACAGGCTGACCTTTTCCCCTCTGCTTTTTTTCCTTCTGCTCACTGAGCTTGTCCAAGGGCAGGTTGGTCATTTCCACGCCATACACGGTCCTGGCCAGCACTGCTGTCAGGGAGTCCATGATGTTGGCCCACTCGTTGATGAGCTCCTCCCAGTCCGTCAGGGAGGACAGAACGCTGAGCAGCTCATCCCACAGCTCCCGAGAGATGTAAACACTCAGATTCGCTCGGATCCAAGCCACAATCAGGGTCTGAGGGAAAACACACAAGTGGCCGTTCAGGTAGGTCCAACAAACGAACTCAGCACACAGTTTACAAAAGAATGACTTGTAAAACAGGAAAAAAATCCTCCTTCCCAGTAATACCAGCAGGTTTCATAGCACTGTGCAGTAGCACTTAGCTAAAACCACGAGCAATCCTGATGGGCAAACACAAACCAACCAGCCCCACTCACTCACTCGGAACAGCAACCCAGCCATGCTCTGGGCAAATGTGTCCTTTGTCTGGTTTTCTTTTGGCTTCTGCATCACAGCTTCTGTTATTCTGAGGAGTATCTGGAGCATCTGTTCCCTGGTTCCAAAACAAAATTACACATTTGTTCACATGTTCTACTAACTGTACTTTTTCCTTAATTCTCCAGCAAGCCTCATTTATTGACAATACAGTCACGCTTTGGACTTCACAGATCATTGCAAATAGCCCCAGCTATTGGCTGTGGATGTAAAAGCTCATTTTTGAGGTGAAGCTAGGAATGGAAATACCAGCCAGAACTTTGAAGTGAAGCAGTACAATGACGCGGGCTCAGCAGGTTCTGCCATCTCTCAAATCAACTCAGAGGCAAGTTTCAAATGTAACTTAGGTAGCAAGGTCTGCCCCTGATAAAGCCAACCTGTTCCCTGCCAATAAATCTCCCTGAAAGTTTAGATGTTGATAACTTCCTCTTAAATGGTGCCACATGAAGCTTACCACGTCTTCTTATTCATTGACAGCTCCATTATCATGCGCCTGAAGATACCGAGAACAGCTTTGCAAGCATCGACTTGCTCCTTCAGCAGCACCGGGACCTCAGTGCACGGCTCCAGCAGGAAAACATTCGCCGAGTTTGTCAGGAACACCTTCAACACAGGCATTGACACTCCATTCACACAGTGTCAGCAAGGAAAACAGTCAAGACTTACAATAAAATACTTGTCCTCCTCTAGTCAAACCTTTCCCTTTCCTTGGGGAAGTTCCATGTGTTACCCCTCACTCTGTTTTTCTACGTCATTCCAGCGAGCAGCCATGTGCCATCACAGACCCCCCAAGGCAGGCAGGGCTCAGTATGGAGCTTGTGGGTGTCCCTTCTGTTTGGGCAGGCAAGAGGACATTCCTCCAGCCACTCGTTTCCTGCCATTATATGCTGGAACAACTCTTTTCCTTCGTCTCAGAGACTCTAAGGTAAGTTGCAGTGTGAGTTACGTGACGAGGTAAGTTACAGCCATGCCCCCTTCCCACACAGCACACCTGCAAGGCAGCCTGGGCTCCAGCTTTAACATCTCTGTCCTCATCTTCCAGCACACATCCCCTGCTGACAGCACTGGTGAAGGAGTACGTCCTGCCCCAGCTGGAGGAGCGCTTGTGCCCGGAGTGCTCCGAGGAAAGCTGCCACAAACACAGCCTGGTCAGTGACAGCGCAGAAAGGAATGTGTCCACATGGATCAAAACCATTTAAAAGGTCAGCAGCAAAAAAGGGGAACTGTCACGGCCTACATTCATTTCCTCAAGGAATTACTATCTGAACAAACAGGCTGTATATGGAATTTAAAGGCTCATAAAAGTTTCAGAAGGTATGTTATTTACAATATTTCACATCATGTTTTGTAGTCACTGATTGTAGTAACATTGAAGTCTGGCAAAACTCTAAATCCTCTACAAAAATAATCTGCTGAAACCTTGTAATCCTTACTAGGATTTACAACTCAAACCTCTTCCTCAGTACAACAAAACATCCCTTTAAACAGCATCGATAGCGTCAAAGAACTTTTACTGACGCTTCAAAACAGTGTATTAAAAAGATGAGGCACAGAAATTGCACCTATGCTTACATTTCATAGTGCTACTGGACAATCAGTACCTATTTAAATTGTGAGTCCTTAAATAAAAGTAATTTTTAACCTTTATTCCCCACACAGTTTGAATTGTTGCTCCTTTACAAAGCGAGGTGAAAACTTAAGCCCTGCATTGCAGGCAGACAGAACAAAGTAAGGAACAGGGATACCATACATGTTTACCGTCTGTTTGCACTGGGGAGTCTTCCAGGTGGACAACAGCATCCTGGCTGTCCTCCTTCTTGTCTGGCTCCTCCATGAACACCGGCTTCTCCTGCAGTATCCACTTCTGATACACCTTCACCACCTTCCGTGTTGCGGATACATCACAAGGCGGCAACAAAAAAGCCTGAAATGAAAAGTTCACTGATTTTACTCTATGTAGGACATGGATGCGATGCACACAAACAGCCCCCCTCCCACAGTGCTCATCTTTGCTCACTGCAATTCTGGAAATCAAGACAATGAGTTTATTTCCAACACACTACTCAAGATGTTATCTGGGAATCATTCTGGGAAGATGTTCTCTCCAAGGGCTTACACAGGCCAGACTGGTTGCTACCCCATACCTCTGCAGGTCTTAGGAGACCAAAAAAAGTATAGTAGTGACACAAGACCTTTGCACTGCAGTGAAATCAATGTCTGAAAATGTCATCTGGTACCAAAAAGCATATTTTGCCAATTAAAAAAATTATATCAATGTGCATTATATGACAAATGCATGGAAATAGATGTAAATACATTCTTCATACTAGAAATAGTCCCTTTGAGTTATGAATAGATTACCACTCTCCCTGATCAACAGGAGCAAAACCACAGCATCTCCTATCCTAGTTTAGCTGCAAACCCATTCCAAAAGGTACTGCTCAGGCCGGGGATCCTTTGCATCCCCACAGCACAACTGCCTAAAAGGGTCTGGTGTGATCAGCATCACGTTTGCCCAGTCACCAGACACCAGCCTCTCAGTGTTCTCCTCACAGTCACAACACTTCTCCCAAAAATTACAACTCCCCAGCAAGCAGCCCTGGCAGTGACCTGTCGGAACACCTCGTTGACGAAGTTGACGTAGCCGCGGGTGGACAGGAGGATCCTCTGCACCATCTCGTAGACGCCGCGGTGCTGCTCGTCGATGCTGCACAGGCTGGCGTTGCTGAGCCTCCTGTCGGACAAGGTGCTGCTGTTGGAGTGGCTCCCGTCCTGCTCCTGCGCCGCGCTGCCCTCGGGCTCCACCGCCTTGTCCTGGCTCACCCCCACCGTCTGCACAGAGCAAACACCCCCGTGAACAGCTGCAGCGGCACCCACCCAAGCGCTGGGATGCCAGTGCACTGCCGGGCACAACGCGCTGGGAGCCAGCACTCAGGCAGAGCCACTTTCGGTCTACTGCTGGATCCAGGAAGGAATCTGGTCTTGTACTGCACAAGTTGTACCCTTCCTATGGGCCAGAGCAGCTGACTGACTTGTCCACTTCAAAGAGCAGGGGTGCAGTGGTGGGAGTGGAGGAAGGCACAGAGAGGAAACTGGAGAGTCTCTTAAGAGAAAAAGCATCTATTTCTCTAAAACTCACTGGGAAGTCCCTAATCCTAGAGAAGACTGAACCAGCAGTTTGAAAGTGAAATACTTCTCTGATATCTCTTTGTAAACAGCTGCTATAACCAAGATGAAAACAAAACAGCTTTCGAAGTCACTGGGAGATGGTCCATGGCACAACTAAGTATGACAGTTTACAGAGTAAATTCCAGAAGTCTAAATATAATACTGCTGGAGCTGGTAATGCAACAAGTTACGAGGAAAATAAACTCCTAGTGAATTACTGAAGGGCTCTGCTTGGAGATTCCTTCCTCCATCAAAGGAAAGAAAATCAAGTAAATATCTACATCATTTATTCCCTATGGGGTAGCATTTCTTTGTGCTTCAGCTGTCAGTGCAGCGAGATCATCCTGCAAGGTTAGCATGTACGTAAGAAAAGAGAGGTAAACTCTGAAGCCCACCTGAATAATTTTAGGGAGCACTTCTCCTCCATTTTTCGTGTTCTGAACAGCAGTTAAATATTTCTTTTCAAGGAAGAAGGTAACAAGCCACTTAATAAAAACAACTCGAGCTGCCATGTACGGGATTTTCGTGCTATAGACACTTTCATTGTTGCGCGTTGCAGTGACGTACACTGGCCTCGGCCTGATATCAGGAATATCTGGTGAGAGAAAAAGGAAACATCGAAAGAAAATGTAATCTTGAAAACTGTAACAGCTTCCAAACTCTGGTTAAACGTAATGAACACGTCACCAACATTTTCTCCCTGTGAAATAACAGATGCAATGACTGACTGCTTTTATTGTATTAATGCTTATATTCTATCATAATTTATCCCTCCTAAAGAACAGCGAGAACATAACAGCACAGATCCTCCCTGCAGGTTAACACTTGTATCACACAAAACAAAGGAAAGTCAAAGAGAAGGGTTGCAAAAAGAAGGGCAAAATCGGAAACAGATAACTCCTCCTGCTACAGTGTAAGTTCATTTTATCAGTTTCACAGTGTCTTTTAATAAAGTGCAGAGAGAAGGAGAAGATGGTTTTGGTACACTCAACAGTACAAAGATGAAGAAGAAAAGGATTCTTAGTGCATCAGAAAGAGAAGTTCACACACTGAAATAAAAGACAGAAAACACATGGGAAGAAGTGGAAGATTTGCTGAAGGGAGACAGGTTGGGTCACAAATTCTTCAAGTGCTTAGATTTAAGGAAAAATCACTTGTACACAGCTGAAAAACACAGAAGGCCTGAGCTGTAGGGGTGAACAAGAGCCCAGGTGGCACTGAGGTGATTTTGGACACTAAATATTAAACTATAAAAACAGAAGGTAAAAGTCAAAGGGAGGAGAAGGATGATGAAGAACAGGCTGCACTACATCAAGTGAGGACTAACACCACTGATTCTATTGACTGTACTACATAATTTAGTAGAAATTTAGGAAAACCTTGTTTCTGAAATAACATGCTTTCAATCCTACAACTGCAGAGGTACATCTCAATTTTATTTCTATTGGCCCTTCATGCTCATTTTCACTCCAATGAAAAAAGGAGCCAAACAAGGGTAACAAAGTCAGCTACTCCCCCACACCTGGACAGCTCATTGGTTCTCTAAAAAACCATCACAGAGCACGTTCTGTCTCCTTTTGTTAATATCACAGAGCCATGCTCACTCCACACAAATGCTGTGCCAGTGGACACATCCCTAGGAAAGGGGAACTGGCCAGGAGCAGCAGCACTTTCCTGCATTGTCACAGCAAGTCAAAGGTTGTGCTCAAAGAAAACAAGAAACCAGGGGGAAGAATCCTGATCCAACAGAGCTGTGCTAATAAGCCCACAGGTAACAGAGATGCTGCCAAGAACAGTCACCTGCTTCTCCAACTTCAAAGACAAAACCCACAACTTACCAAGCACAGGTTTGTAGAGGTTGGTTAGCTTTGTAAAAGATGGAAACAAGTGAGGAAGATAGTATTTTCTAAACAAGGTAAAGAGAAACTTAAACCCAGTGTCTTGGTTCTCCTTGTTTTTCCACTCCAAGCTTGCAGCCTGTGTCATGGAGTTAAAGAGAAACAAACAAAAAGCTTTCAGTTAATGTGTTATACTGACAAACATCCTGCATTGAACACAAAAAGTAAGCAACCACACTTTAACAGGAGATAAACTAGCACAGTCCTGAAACACCCTTGACAAACTGCAGTAAGAATATAAAGCCAGAATAACCTGAGAGGCCTTTGGCATCCCCAAGACAGTGAGCTCAGCAGAAGCCAGTGTGTTTGTGCTGGGAACACAGGAGCTGTCATACTGGGTGTGCTTTTACCAAATTTGCTTCTCACATATAAATTTTGACAAAGTCACTCTGGGCTACACTTCTATCAGAACTATTTTCTTCATCAGAAACATCCTCAGTGCCCACATTTAATATGGCTAAACACACACATGCCATTCTGCTTTGCACAGTTATTTTCCTCTGAGGGGGAAGAGACTGACATCTCAGCTTGGTTAAAATGGCACTCTCCCGTTCCTGATGGCCAACAGCAAAGAGCCACACACAGACTTTCTGGTTGCTCTTCACCAACAGTTTTGAACTACAGTTCCTTGCAAGAGTGTGGCAGATTTTGACAGTGAGTTACTCTTTTCATTTTAAACACCTCCAGTTTGAGACGAGCTGCACATGACTGACACAGTTTACATGCCAGAGGCGGGGCCGGGCTCTGCTCAGGGGTGCCCAGCAATGGCACAAGAGGAATGGGTAGCAACTGATGCCCAGGAAGTTCCACCTGGACATGAGGAAAAACTTTCCTGTGCAGTGACTGAGCACTGGACAGATTGCCCACAGAGGGTGTGGAGTCTCCCTCACTGGAGATATTCCAGACCTGCCTGCACACAGTCCTGTGCCCTGTGCTCTAGGATCACCCTGCTGGAGCAGGGAGGTGGGACCAGATGAGCCACTGTGGTCCCCTCCACCCTGACCCATTCTGGGATTCTGTGTGAAACTTGCCCTGCCCTGCTTTCGTAAAATACAAGACTGCTGAGGCTTTGTATCATGTTATTTGCGATGTAAATAAACATCACAAGTGTGATGTAAATAACATGACACATTACATTCTCCTCAGGCAGAAACTTTCTTAAAGATGCAGATGTGATCTGTGTTCTGGCTCTAAGTCATCACTCTGCACTTCCATCAGATTACTTGAATCTCAGTTTGTCTGCAGCAAGGAAAGTGCCCAGCTCTGCTCCCCACTAACGAGCACCACAAATAAATGTGGATGAACCACTGTGCAATTGGATTTACAGTGTAGTCGGGTTTGTTTAGATCCCAAACATGTAAAAACAGTATAAAAGGAAGACTGAAATTTTATTTTTAACTGGAGTTGTGAGATTCTGATATGTAAAACAAAGGGCGCCATGGAGGAAGCTGATAATTTCATACAGTCACTTTTCAAAATTAAGCATGTATTCAAGATGACAAAATCCCTTCCAAATATCACTTTGGTCTTGCCTTTTGATATTAAAAAGTGTGTGTCAAAGTATTTAATTATAATTTATTTTTTTAAACTGAGCTCTTTAATATTCATTGTCTATACAGTTTCCACTTTATTTCAAATACTGATTTGTACTTTTTAAATATATACATTATCTCAACTTCTTTCCTGTACAGATTCATCTAATCTACTTCTAATTAAATTTATGTACATGTTACTTGCATCCTTTTAAAAAAGAAATTTTAGAAGCCATCTCTTTTTATCTCTTCCTCCAGTGGTCCTTTACATTTCTTTTCATCTAGGTATGTGTCCAAAGAGAACAAATCTCATCTTTACCCCATATCAATTTTCTAAATGAAACCACAAGCACATATAATAGTCAGTTTCCTGCAAGTTTGGATAACATTCATTCATTCTTATCACAAACGCGACAAACTTCTTGCTTTAACTAAAGCTGGCAGAAGGAAATACCTTTGGGATGATTTTCTTTTCAAAAACAAGACTAATAAAGTGCAGGAACCAGCTTCTTCCAGGGGAGGGGCAAAGCCAGCTCCATACAGATACAGTGTAGAATTCACATTCTATGACCAGTACATCCCCCAGATATGACTAGTTACAAACACACATCCTCCTCACCTGAATTACCATATATTTTAACAGGAGTTGAAGAAAATAGCAGGTTTGGTCTTCAGCAATTTTCTCTCCAGAGACAGCTGGTAAAAGCGGGGTTATTTCCTCTGGAAAAACCTTAGCTAAAACAAAATATTCAAAACACAGACATGAAAACATGAAAATATTGAAATAAAAGAATTTTCTACGAAAAGATAAATTTAAAATATCCATTAATGCACTACTAAGTTGTACAAAACCCAAGTCCAGTAGCTGCTTGGCATTTCCCCAAGTTCTACCACATCCCATCAGGGGTGGCACCGGCATCTGGTTCCCTGCGGTGTGGAAGGACTGACAGCAGCAGGCACTGCAGCTGAAGCAGCGAGCTGGAAACCTGCACACCTGCTTATTGTGCAGTAACACGCTCCTACCGCAGCCCCTCAATTAAAAATCCCCAAAGCAGGAGGCAAACAACAACCTGAGACTGCTCTGGGTGGCAACGCCAGGCTGCGCACAGCTGCCGCAAGCAGGGCAGCTCGGCAGATCCCCACCCTGCAGTGCCGGGCAGCGCATCCAGATGTTCCCAGGTGCTCCCCCACTCACCGTCGGGCGGGGCCGGGGGGCTGATGAGGCTCTCCAGGGTGCAGGGCCCCCGCGAGGACGCCAGCGGGGGGAAGCCGGGCACGAGGCAGGCAAACAGCAGGATCTGCTCCTCCCCACAGTTCGTCTGGAGGGCTTGGAGCCAGAGCAGGAACAGCCGGATTCCTTCACATCTGATCTGAGAGGGGATGGATTTGTGCAAAGAGAGAGCAGAGTAAGTGCAGCAATGTGTTAAACGGTTCAGAACACATAGAATGAGAGTCTTCAGCCCAGCCAGGTGCTAGGAACCCTCTCCACCATACCAGGGGCGTTCACAGTATTATTTTAATCCTAGGCTTAATACGGTACACTTAATGCTAAAGAGAGCTGAAGAAATGAAGCATTAAGCAGTATCTATTAATACCTTCTCTGGGCAACTTTACAAAGGTCATTAAAGCAGCAAAATAATTGAAGACAAATGTTAAAATAATCTAGGATCACAATAATAAGATTTATGATTAAAAGGTAAGTAAAATTACAAAGCCTAACAATCTTAAAACCACTGATACTGGAAAGCTGCAAAGTTATATGCTTCATAAGAATGAAAGTGAAAACAAGTATGAAAAAAAAGAAATACCTTGAGAGAATTTCCAGTGTGCAAAAGTTTCTTCAGAATCGACCCTGGATTAGAAAAGTTAAACAGACTATCAGACACAAAGATGGGCCCTCCCACCTCAACGCTTTTTAAAAATACTCTGGAAAAGGTTAGTTTAATGCCTTTACTCTGGAGCCACTGCACTGGGTTTTAAGACAACTCTGTGGTGTGGAGGGGAAACCCAAAGTAAATGTGGTTACAATCACCATCATCATCAGTGCAGTAAGATTTACTAAGGTGTGTCTTTGCAGTATGGTACTGTGGGTTTAGTCAGATGACAATGTCTCAAATTATTTTGATAAATACAAAGATTGTGAATGATGTACAGCCCTTGTGAATGATGTACAGGTTCCTTCTCTCCAGATCTCACCACTTCACAGTACTAAATGGAAATTATTAACATGTATAGAAAACACTCATTAATGCAAAAAGGAAATCCCAAGGTACAGCTGTAAAAAATTGCTCAGCCAAAAAATTATCCCAATATAGCCACCCAAGAGAAGTATAAAGAATATGTCAGCTACAAAACAATCGACTGAAACCAATTTGCTCTGGACTGGCTCAGCTGAACCGATATGAAGTGGTCAGGCAGATGTCTCCTCTTATTTTTGTCACTGCTGAGTGAAAATGTGACAACAGCCCTTCCTTGACCTTTAACTTCCACTCATTGTTCTTCTGCAACAGCAATTCCTTGTTCTGATGACAAACAAGGCAGCTGGTGAGACAGTGCTGGGAACCAAACCCAACCACAACAAAAAAGTCCTACTCAGAAGGAACAGAACCCCTCTATAAAAAAAAAAAGCAGCAAAACAAAATCTTGGGACCACTTTGGCAGCAGTTTGAAGCCAACTTTTCTGCCGCCTGTTCAGTGCCCAAGTTCTATAGGATGAATTTCCAGGAGGCAGAGAGGATCGAGTTCCACACAGCATCTATCCCTGGTGGGATGGACTGGAAGAGGCATTTCATGTGCAATCGCTTGCAAAGACATCCTGCTGCAAATCTGCAAGTCACATCCAGATGCACAGCGCTCCTGACTCCCAGTGTTTGGAGCTGGTCTGTGAATCTACAGGGAGACCTAAGCAGGAAAAGGTGCGCTGGTTTAAATTCCCCTCATCCTGACAGCTTCCATCACAAGCAAGAAAAGAAAGCGAAGAGGGTCAATCCAAGAAGATAAAATTTGAAAGAGTATTCATGCAAAATAAAAGTGAAGCAGGCAATCCCAAGCAAGGGACACAGATCTGCTGCAGCAGGCAAAAACATTTTTCCATGTGCTTTGGGAATGCTGAGCTGCAAGCCTCCTCTGTGAGTCCTGCTTGTGTGGGCAGTACTGAGGGAATTCAGGGCTTGTGGAACCAGAGTAGTGACTAAAGAAAATACTGATTTCATTTGCACTAGAATGTTTTTAAACCATTTCTTCTTACCTATACTGCGAAAATGCCATCGATAAAAAATCCTCTCAGGCAGTAGTTGCAATATTTTCTGCAGGAAACAAAACTAAATAGTCAAATTTTCCATAATAAACCGGGTCATCAGAGGATATACAGAAACAAATACACATGACACAAACAAAACAGTAATACATACAAACAGAATACAACAGAAAGAAATGCCTATCGTGACAAGGACTCCTGCCCACGACTTTGCTCTCTGCTTGTGGAAAAAGACACTTGGAATGGTCCTGAACAAATCCCATGACACAGTCACGAACCACTTTCCCTTCCCCGTGCGTGGCAGACCCCCAGCTCTGCCAATGAAGCGCTCAGACATTCCGAGCGGCTCTCCTAGGCTGCCGCTCTGCGGCGCTGTCACGGCTCCGGTGCCATCTGCCGGCTCCGGGCTGTGTTTCCATCATTCCATCAGCTAATGGGCTCTGACCCCCGGCTGAGGCACAGGGAACAGCGGGGCAGTTAGTTTTCCTGAGAGCTCATTTACCTGTGCTTTCAGCTGTTCAGTGAAACCGAGCCAAATTACACAAAGCCAGACTAATTGAATTGCCAGCACAGGCAGTTAATAAAGCACTTAGGGAATAATCCGTGGTGGCCTGTCTCTGGAGTTGAGGACTGCTCCTCCCGGAGGCAGATCAAACACAGGGAGAGGCTGTGGTCAAACCCATTCCCCACAGTTTGGTTACGCTACAGGGCACCCACAAAGCAATTTAAGCACACGCTTAAGTGCTTTCCTGAAAGGAGTCTTATCATCTTAGTTGCAAAGAACACTTGGGGCTTCCAAACGCTTTCTTTCTCAGTTCAGTGCATGGTAATGCTCTTAAATAAGCTGGATAAATCAAAACTATTTCGGGGTCTTACTTGAGTAAATATGGCTTTAACAGGACTTTAACAGGCTCCAAGACACCGTTTTCTTTTTTAAACTGCTGGCAGTAAGGACTAGGGCTCGGCAGGCAGGTGAGGCAGTCACAAGGACAGCTCACCTACCACTGCTCCACCTGGCAAAGGAGTGACAGTGGACAGGGCCCCACACAGGTTCCACAGAAAAACACGTCTGTATCTTACACTTTTCCACCCATTGAAATATAGAGCATAGAAGATATATTTAAATGGGGAAAATAGTTTTCAGCATCTACTTTTGGAAATCAAGTTAAATCGAACAATATTATAAATGACTGTCAGAGTTCCTCATATTATCAAACAAAAATCACTGGCACAAACTTCTGCACAACAAAGACCCGTTTTCAGAAATACACATGCAGGATGCAGAAATGAATGGCAAGTCACTTGAGCAATGGTGAGCCATTTGTTGGTGTTTTGCACACCAAGCTCATGAGAGGAAACATCCCAGCCAAGAAAGCAAGAAGTGGCACTGTGGGCAGCCCTTGGGAGCTCGCTGACACGGGTCAGCACTGGTGCTGACAGCAGTGTGCCTGAGATATGGACAGACTTCTTTTCTTTGACAACAAAGTGCTTCAGAAATTCTATACAACACTCAGAATAGTCTTTTTGGAAATGGACCATTCCCTTCTCCATGGTAGAAGATGGAAGTCAGGACAAGTTCACAGACTTAGGGAGCTACAGCTCAGGTCACAGACGGGCTGCTCCTCCTCCACACCGGTACCAGAGCACGTGCTCCCCAGAGAGCACCGGGCATTTCTACAAGTTTAGTCAGAGTAAATATGCAAACCAGGCACTCCCATCTATGTTCCCGGAGTATTTTGTTTTGGGGTTACTGCCCCAGCTCCCTGCCCAGGACACGGTGGCAGCAGGGATGGCAGAAGCAGGGGAATCGTGGCCAGAGGTCTGGCTCCCCCTCCATGGGCAGGAGGAACAGGCTTGGCATGAAGCATCTGACTGGCTAAAAATGAGGCCATGACTCACACTGGGCCTTTTTACCTGTTAGTTGAGGACCAGGCTTCTGCCAATCAGATTACAGGATCCATGGACAAGGAGTTATCATCATCCATCCAAATGTTAAAACACTGGCAGCCCATCACTCCTCAGGACACTTTCTGCCATTAACCTTAACTTGGCACAGGGCAAGAAGAGCTTCTAAGCTAACCCAGGAGCACTCCAAGTCCCCACTGAAGCAGTGCCACTCCGTGTGGGAGCTGGGTCTGTGCCAGGCCCACCACACACCGTGTGCCCAAGGCATGCAAGGAAAAAGCTCCAGGAAACAAACACTTCAACAAACCAGTAACAAAAAAAGGGCTGGATTCAGGTGCCACAATACACTGCAGGGATGAACCTTCACACTTCGCACATTTATCATGGAAAACCAGACAAAAATCACACACATTTTGTTTCCATTGTTTAAGTCTTTTACACAATTTCACCTGAATTTGAAAACAAAGTTCACTTCCAGGGAGTAAGCTATGACAGGTGTGAGCTGTGTGAGCTGATAAGGTAAAAGCTGCATAATAAAGACCCGTTTGAAAAAGAACTTAAATTCACTAACACTGAGATGTGAAAGTTAAGGTTGTGCCCAGAGAAAGCCTGGAAAACTGGCTGTTGCAGAGGACAACAACAAAAGCAAGCTTAAATTCAAAACTGCATAAAGCTGGTAGGGTTGTGGCAGAAAACAACACCCTTACTGTTCTTTTTGCTTTACAAAACACAGAATCCAACACCCTTGTCAGGGGACTGAATCAAAACAATTCAAGGGTTGAAATCAATAGTCCAGAAGCTACCACGTGAGGAAAGCTTCCATATCCCAAAATCTTTCTGTATGCCAAAAACTTGAGCCATTAAAATTATTTCCCACGAGTTCTTATCAGCATCTCAAAACTAGGAAAACAATAAATACATGTATGTTGAAAAAAATGCAAAGATGTGATTAATCACCTGCATGGTCCTACGCAGGAGCAACCAGAGTCATTGTAAAAAAGCACCCCGGACTGCTGGTGTCCCAGCTCCCCACTGCAGACAGCACAGCTCTGCTGCAGAGCACAGGTGGTATAAATAATACATAAATAGAAACTCAGACTCCACAGTTGTTCCTGATGCCAAAACATGTTACCATGGTTAAAACCCACACCTTCAAACACAAGGTACTGAAGGTTATGAGTTAACCCCAGTCCCAGCCAGCACAACTTTTAACTGGTGATCTTTGCCTGTGAGCACCGGGGTCCCCAGACTGAGATGGGGTTGGAATGCAATACGAGACAGCACAAATCACCAACACGCTCCAGTTGTTCCCACTGTAACTTCCCATTTCCAACATTTTTTACACCCTCCCCACCCTGGTGTTCTAAAAAATCACATACTGCTATTCCCATAAAACAAATGATGGTTTCTTCCCCTCCAGCCTAGGCTGCCATCCACACCGCTGTGAATCCGAGCTGGCTATTGACATCTTGTTCCTAGTTTCACACTACACTAATAAGAAATGTTTTAAGAAACCCCACAGTGCGAAATAATATTGCTTTTTCAGAAAACACATAGATCTATTTAATGCTTAGTGCTTTGCTGCATCTATATGGTAATCCATTACAGCACACTTGAAATAGAAATTAGGTATTACTACTGATCAACACATCAGGGTATCTGTCAGTTCTTTTAACTGATTATCCATAGTTCTTTTTCGTTTGGACTTCCTGCATGACTAGGAATAATGTTAAGTTTAAATCTTAGTTTACACAGGATGCTGCACTTTGAAAACTGGATCTCTCTCTTTTATCACAGCAGAATAAAAACCACCGAGGTTTGTATTTCAGTAGACTTGCTCCGACTTCACCAACACTGCAATTTCTTTTACAAAGCCTTTTCCTTTTGCCCCCGTTGTTGAACGATGCCATGGCTGGCAGCTTTGTGCCTATGGCTGAGTGCTGCCCCGACACGGGGAGAGCTGGGACCAAACCTTCCCACGAGATTCCCACAGCCAGGATGTTTGCCAGCTGCCCTGCTGCCAGAGCTGCTCTGAACCTGGGTCTCAGTACAACAGCCACACCAAAGGTGCCCTGGCTGACTGAACGCTCCTGGAGGCAGTGACAGTGGTAGTGACAATGTGTTTAACTATCGAAACCTGCAGCAACTGAGAAATTTTTCAGCTCCTATTCACCAGCTCAGATAAGCCAAGAGCTCAATGGAGTCGCTGTGCCTGCAGCAGTTCAGTTTAAATGAAGGGATCTCCATTTATTGCATTAATAAATTATTTACAGTCATTTGCTGAGGGAAAATGTCTGCCCACAGCACACAGGGCACTTATTACTGCCCCAGGCATAACAAGACACAGTAAGATCTCTGAAGTCAAACATAGGAAACACAGAATTTACCACAGAATGCTGCAAGAATAACAAGAATGTTTACTAAGAGCAATAACAAATGAAATCAAAACAATGGCAGATTGAACTGCAAATAGTTAAAAAAAGCAGTTTTTTATGTGTAGAAAAGAAGAGCTCTAAGCACTTTTATCCCCCTTTTTTACCCTAGTGAGCTTGACAATCAGCCAGCCAAGTCTGTGTGACACACTGGAGGTTGAACAGTGTAACTGGGAATCCCAGCAGGAATTCCTCAGGAACCCACTGCAAGGCTGTAAAAAACCGACAACCTGAATTTAAAGCTGCAACTCTGCATTTTAAGCTCTGACTCTTAATGGTAACTCGATTTCAAGTGTCAGATAACCTACAGGTGGGGAAATTAAGATACTGAGCTGTACACACGTGAGGGAAATGCAAACAGCAACAAGAAAGTTAAATAACAGGGACAACCCCAAGAAATGAGATATCAGGACTTGTGGCAACAGGAACTCAACAACAACTTGATTATTCCCTGTAAAGAATTTTAAAAGTACTTTCTTTTACCACTGGCTCGTTTCAATACACAATTTAATTTCTCAGGATTCAATTATACTCACTTTTGTTCAAAAGGTAGCAAGTAATTAACAACAATATCCTAAGACAAGCAAACCACCCTAAGATAATGCTACAAATATAAAAGAGTGTCCTTTTGCACATTCATAAAACGTACCAACACAGCACTGAAGTCTTTTTAAAAAGAGCTAGGAATCCGAAAGTACTCCAAGGTCCACTGATGCAGGTTTTCATGAAATTGAAAATGACCTGCTAAAAATGACCGCTGGTTTGGAGATTTGTTTTAAGCTGCTTCACCAACACTGCTAATTCATAGAGCAGTCTCCATAAAGGACACCTGTAAGGTGCTGGGAGAATTTGGTAGTTAAAATATCCACAGCAGTCTTACTCCAGAATGAACCACAGTTGTACATTCTAACAGCTCTAGTTATGAGCACTACTAGAAGGGCTGAAAAAGCAGTCTCTGTGCCCAAGGTGTGTTGGTGCAGTGCCAAACATGAGGGTTCTTTATGTTATGTTACTGTGCACTGGTAAAATATAAACAAGCAGAGAAATCCAAGCTGAGAAGCTTCCAGCAAACACATCACCCATGGGAGGTGGAAGCATGCACCCCATCTCCTCAGCTGTCCCCAAACCTACAGTGACACCTGAACTATGTTGACAGGACCTGAAACACCTCCAGGAACAGCAGCCACTTCCAGAAGTGGTTTCAGGAAGTTTTTCTACACTAGAAAGATTATCTGAAAAATTTGGAGAATAAAACACTTCATCCAGTGAATGTGTTAAATCTGTGGGATGAATTTTATGACCCCATCAGCACAAAAGGTATGATGTGGCTGTTCTTCACTACTAAAGCCAAATTACAGAGAATGGGAAGAAATCGATCTGTGTATTGTATCAAAGCCATCAGCCTGCTTTTACTTCATTAGAGATAAAACAAATGCAGTGTCAGAGGAATCAGTACCTGATGCTGCAAGAAAAAAATACATTATTATAAAAACCCCAAGCTTTCACAAGCAGGTGATGACAGAACACTGTAATGGGACCCAGATAATGGACATAAGTGCAGTGCACCTTCTGTGAGGTCTGTGACACATCAGGCTCAGAGCTGCCCTCAGACCTGAGAACAGGGACACAAGAAGTAACAGGAACCTGTTCTGCAAATACACTGCAACTCTGGAGAGAGCCAAACCTCAGCAGAGAACAAGCAAGTCTGTTGTTCACATATTTTCGGGCTTCTGGCTGAAACAGGGAAAAATAACACAGTACAGCTGCTGTATCATTTCACAAATACCTGTCTGGAAAAAGACAAGGCCAAAGTACCTTAGAGAATATAGAATTAGAACTAAGAATTTTGTGATATTAATTGCAAAAAAGTACTTTCCAAAACGAACAGTTAACCCTTCACATTTCTCCCTTCTGATTAACATTTCTTCTTTAAATAACACGTTGTTTGATGTTGCTGAGTGGCCAAGCTCTGTAGCTGATGTGTCAAATCCAGAAGTCCATAAATTACAGGCGGGCTAAGTCAGTTTGCAGAGGATTTGTGGGCAAGGCCTCTGTTGCCCAATACACACACTAGGTGTCACTCCACAACAGCAGCACGATCCCACCAAACTGCCAGGAAAGGCAAAGTCAATTCCCTCATAAATATTTTTATTGATTTTTAAGCTGTTAGCACTCAGCACCTGGACTCTGGCTTTGTTAATCCTAAGTAGTTACCTATTTAGCTAATCAGAAGAAAACGCAGCACCCCCTACCTCATGCTGACATCAGATTAAATATGGAAAGCTTCACAATCATTAGTTTTGTTTCCTACGGCTTAGGGTGAATGTTTCATCACTTGGCATTTCCTTTTGCCTGTCCTGTGTTGAGGCTGATGGGTTCTTGGTCTGTGCTCCAAGACCTCCACTGGGCTGTTCTCCCATGCATACTTTACCTAGTCTCATTTTCCATGGACTGCAAAGTCACTCCAGCAGATCCCCACCGTGAAGTGGATCACCCTGAATTCCACACAAATACCTTAAACCACTTCCTGTTCCCCAGAGCTGTCCATGACCCGGCTGTAACACAGCTCTCCCCACTGGGACCCCAAACAGTTCAGACACAACTGTGGGTTTTTCCTCCTTCAGACAGTATGTTCTGATGGCTTTAGGGAGTATTAAGGGGCAGTTATGAGCCCTGGGAATGCAGCCATTCCCTCTCAGCAGGTGAGCAAGCATTAACTATTTGCCATTCAGTGACAGGGCCACAGAAACATCACCCCCTATTAAGGTTCCAGTGTAAGGGTATTGATGAGCTGCCATTCACAGCTGTGAATGCTGTCCACGCCTTCCCTGCTGGCCTGGGGAGGGAGGAGCAGGAAGAGTTTCTCCTGCCCCAAACACTGACCTGGCAGACTTTTGAGCTCATGCTCTTTGACACTACCCTGGGCAAAACCCCAAAGCAGATTCCTACTGATGCAAGGAGCAGAAAGAACAGTTCAGATTTCGGTCTCATGGTTACAGGGGAGAAGGGAGGGAGAAGAAGAAAAGGGAGCTGAACTGGCTGCATCAAAGTGAGAATCCGAGACCACAAAACGCCAGGATTTCATGTCATCGTTGTCATGGCCATTTTTCCCATTACAGGCACGTTAGGCTAAACAGCATCATTTCTATTATCAATATAACCACCATTCCAACTACAAACTACTCATTAATGCAAAATCATGAAACCACATGTTTGGGTTGGGTTTTCTTAGAAGAAGTGAGAAGAGTTGAGAACAATTAGCTTTTGTTTTGACTTCCCTTTCTAGAGTCCCACTGAAAGTTTGAGGGCTTTTTTCCTACCACCCCTACCAAAAAATAACCCAAAATATAAACAAAGATGGCATTTCTATGTTGCAACATGCAAATAAGTCAGTAGTTGCAGTAACAAAGAGAAAGAAATAAACAAAACAGAAATAGAGAGAAATCAAGAGAAGATGTGTGTTTAACCTTAAGAAAGAAATCTGGCCAATTATTTTCCTAAGTAACTGTCAAAAATTAATATTTAAAAGTGCCACTGCTTTCTGAGTACAGAGACAGGCAGAGCTTATGCTAAGAATTTCAGTATGCGTTATAAGAATGTTTTTATATGCTAGGCTTTCATCTGGTCCAGTGATATTTTATGGATATTTCACATTCAAATATATTTAGGTCTTAACTCTAATTAAAAAGGTACCTCGGAAAATGATCTATCTCATACTATTCTTCTTTTAATTAAAACAATCCTAATTTGATTATGCAGAAGTTAACTCAGTCACATTTCCTCCCCAGACACTGCCCATGCTCTGATGGCCGGTGCTGGGAAGGATTTGCTCCTGGAAGTGAAGGATGCTCCACTGAACTAAAGAAGTCTTAACAAATTAGTATTTCACATGCTCAGATTAAACTGATGTGCAGTAGCTGACAACTCCTATCCTCTTATTTCCCTTGTGCTGCCAGACCAAACACTGTAACCACAACAGATGCCTTCATGTGAGAGGAGCTGGGCCCAGACTCCTGCTGTGACACATTCAAAATAAACATAACACTGAACTCCACACTGACACGGTGTAGGGAAACAGTGCTGCTGTTTTGAACTGCCCCTCCACGAAATACTGAAGCAAAACCTTCAAAGAACAGAAGAAACAAGAATGTTTTGAAAGCTTTAGCCTAACAGAGGCTATGGAATCACTGATCACATGCTCCCCAAATGATCCTGAAAACCCCAGCTCATTTTCAGCCCCAGATCCCCAGGACACAGTGTTACTGCAGGATTTTCAAGCCATTTTGAAAAAACATCTTAACTCTGCATATTCATTTAACCGACATTCTCACTGCATAATAAAATGATTGTTGTATCTGGAAGATGAACGCCCTCCCCAGCTCTGTTCTGCCTTTCCCCTGGGACTGACACCTGGTTTCACCCCTCGCTGCAAAGCTCTAAGTAAACACAGAATGGCAATGAGATTTGAAGTACAAATTTGCTTCATGGTATGAAAAACTTACTTCAAAAAGAAAGAGGATGGAGTCCAGCTCCTCCCTTTGTGACTTATTCCCTGCAAGACACAAACCAATATTGTTTGCCTTAAATACATGGTGTGAGACAGCAGCATCAGGCTGTTGTTGTTCAGCTGAGTCAAAGGTGTCCCCCAGTTTATTTTTCATCTTTATCCAATATCCCAAGTGCAAGACATGTCCAAAGTGTGGTGCCTCTCTGTGTTCTGCCCACGTCTCACCTGAGCAGCAGGACCCTAGCAGAAGGTGAGAGGACACGTGTGGAAAGCACAGAACTGAGCTCTGTGCTGAAATGACACTTAGTCATGAAAATGAACTCAGAAATCTTATCAGCTGCGGACATTTCCGAGAGCGATTTCCCATGCTCGTCCCTTCTGCTGCCAGGAGTTAAAGTGATTAATACTAACACTGCGCTGCATAAAACTATTGACACAAATACAGATAATCACTGCACAGCCTCTAATGGAATTGCTCTGGAGAACTCGAGGGGAACCCCAACCAACACCTGTTGGCAAATATCTACAACTTACCTTTTTGTTTCAAGCTATTTTCCAGTGTTATGAAGTTTTCATAGAATATAAAATAAATTTGAGAATAATTATTGTCAAAAAATTGCTTCAGGTCACTTCCATCCACAATATCTGAAAAGAGGAGAAACAGTGTTATTACACAAGAGCAGAATGCTGAAAATTCTTGTTTTTCTGCAAATTTAGCATTAGAGAATGAAATAAATGCAATACAAACCTATTTTAGTGACTACAATGAACATTCAGTACTAAAATATGACTCCATCCTTGCCAGTAAAACAGGGAAATGTCCATTTTCACTGAATTTATGAAAGTTTGCAGTGGGCCTTTGGCTCATTTGCTTTCCAGTAAATAAAATAAAATAAATGAGGCAAGTCTCAACCATGTAACCAACCAGTTTCTGCACCACTGAAACAAGCAGGCACTGCTGGAGGAAACAAACACACACCAGCAAAGATTTCTGGATGCAAATCCAGTTCTTAAATTTACCTGGCAAACAGATCAACTCAGAAAACAGCATATTTCTAATTCTTTCCTTAAAGTAATGGCAACCCAGGCATGCATCACTTTCCAAAGCCTTAACTTATATCTGAAATTTGGACTAAGTTTACTTTTTAAGAAGATAAAAGTCTGATGTTTTCTTAACCTAACACTTGCCAAACACATCAACTTCACCCATTTGCTCTTCATTGCAACTGTTTTGGTCCAGAAAGGTTAAGCAATTCCACCCAGAATTAAGAGGAGGAAGGACAGTAATTATTAACAACACATCCTCTCACTGAAGCTTCACCCCGTAAGAAACCCATTCACTAACCAAAATAAAGCTGATTGCAGCAACAAGTCCCAAGAATATCCCATGACTACAGAAGACAGAATGACTTTAGCCTTTGGACAATTAGATTTTTATTTAAATTAATACCTTTCCTGCAGTAAGGCTTTGCTTGGCTGCTCGTACTATGGAAACAATTAGTGCAGGGAAACTCTTTAACATGATATTTGTTTCCTACAAACTACTGGTCTCAAATTTGCAAGCTGAGTGCAATTATTCCTCTCCATGAATGCGTTCTGTTAAACACAACTCCAGGGGAAAACAAGGCCTTCATTTACAGGCGTTTCATATGAAGGAATGAGGTCACTAAAATCTACACAAAAAGGAAACTTTCCCTGTGAATTGTGAAAGGGGGAGAAAGGAACTGCCTTATCAAAAAATAAATTCTCCTTTTCTCTAAATGTGGCATCTCAGTGGTGACTCGGGGTGAGTCTGATGTGAGCTGCATCCCTACAGCCCCAGCCTTTTCTTCCAGATATGTTTCACTTGTAGCAGGATACGGCTCGTTCCTGTTTTTCAAATGGAAAACATCAGGGAAAGTTTCCTGGGCCATTTATCATTTGAGATAATGAGACAGAATCCTGACTTTGGGGAAATCCCATTGACTGGATGAGAATTTCTGAGCAGCCAAGGAAGTGCTGCAGCAAGGCTGGGGCTGAGCTGCAGGTACTTTTATGTTTGTTTACTCACAAATAGCTCCGGTTACTCCAGCTGCAAACAGGCTCTGAGGGCTCACACCTCAAGCAAGCTGGCAGACGCAGCAACCACCAGATCCATAGCAGCTTTCCAAACCCTTGGAACTCACCCCCTTCCCAAACAAGGACGGGTGATCCACAGGCTCACGCTTCTGGTTAACACTTGAATGTAGCTTTGGCAGCGAAATCCAGGAAATAGTGAGACATCCGTGACAGCCACATCCTATTTCTTCCATATAAACATGACAAGATTGGCTCATTGGATGCCTCCCAGTCACCCTGACTGCTTTACTTTTTAAATGTAAATTTTTTAGGGAAACAAACTACTCAGGTACCATTTAATAAGAGCCTGAGTTTATTGCCAAGCCCTCACTGCTCTTCTTTTAAAAAAGAAGTCCATGGAGACAATAAGTCTCTCCTTAGCACACAGATTATCTTTTATCTTCCTGTTAACTACAAACATTATCACAGGCACTTGACAGAAATCCTCCCTTGGTTCCTTGAATTTCCAAAGTCACTTGACTTTATACTATTTATACAAAGCTCACTCAATCCTCAAGTACTTGAAAAATTAAAGGAGATGAAGAGAACTTCACAGTCATACCCTGGTTAATGATAAACTTTTACTACCAGCCTCACCCCAGAAATAACGTACAATTTTTACTTATCTTCAAAAAAAGCATGTCAGCATGGAAAGAGACTGTTACTGGAACACCCCTCCAATTAGAACAATTTCCAAAATAATGTCAACACCTCGAATTTCACATGAGCTCTCTGGAACAACACCAGTGAGAAGCCCAGACACATTTCCCTTTTGAGTGTCTCCAAATGAACATTTCCACTGAGCTGGTGTTATTCCAGCTGCACGCAACTGTGAGACCAAGCAGTGCCAGAACTGAAACCCCACTACTCTCCCTTATTATCCCATTTTTGATGGACCGAGGTCCACGAAAAACAGGGTTTTTCCCAACGGGTATTTTGTAAAGACAAAGACTAAGGACTGCACTTGGTAACCTAACAAAGTTCATATTTAACCCTCACTGAAGTTAAGGTTCCAGTGTGCAGCTGTAACAGGTCTCCCATATATTTGCCCAACAGAGAAAAGGATGAAAGCACTGGGCATGGCAGCACCCCACATCTGTCAGCAGCAGCACTCATCACACCTCAGTATTTCAACTGTGCCTGAGGAGAAAACACTACTCAGATGATGTTTCAATAAAAAAGAGAGTGTTTTTACTCAAGAATAGCCACAGAAAAAGTATGGAAGAGCAGTGATTAATCTTTGTACTACAAAAGTCCCACAGAAACCACTCTGGGAAACTGCAGAAGTTTAATTTATGGCCAGTCAGTGGGGAAGAGCCAAACCTGTACATCCCCATTTCTGCTTATCAGTCCATTGTTTTTTAAGTCTACTGTAAAAAAAAAAAAAAAAAAAGCCACCCTACTGACACTTCCACAAACTATATTTGGAAAAAAAGTTCCTACTGACTACGAAAGTTCTGCACATAAATACATCTCTACAGTAATAAAAAAATAAGGGAAATGTTCTGGTCATTTCCCCAACAAAAATGAACGCCCACTTATTCTGGGTAGTGTTCTGTGCTGCCATGCAGGACAGAATTCCCCACAGATTAGGAATTTGGATCCTAAAGGGCATTTGAGCCCTGAGAGATAAGCAATACAAACTTAAAGGGAACCTTTCAGTTGGGACACTGCACAAACTTGCACAGATGGCACTAAGGGACTGAAGCGATCCAGAGTTCACATGACCCCTTATTTATGGAAATACACATTCCTTTACCTCATTCCTCCCCTATTATCGTCCTCTCTCTGATCTTTATCCTCCTGCATCACTGGGATCACAGAGGCGTAACTGTCATTTTGTTTACAATTTAATTCCTGTGATTTAAAACTAACAAAGGAAGAGCAGTTGGCATCTCCTAAGGAAACACAAGACCAGGAGCAGCTATTTGGAGAACATGTGCCCCCATGGCTCCAGAAAAGCAGTTGGTGACAGGGAGTGCAACGTCCGGGCTGGGAGGAACAGACACACATTCCTACCCTGCCCAGCACAAGGAGAGATGCATCTGGGGAGAAGGGAAAAAAAAAATCTAACTATTTTTGAGCCTTTATCCAAAAGCTTTGTTTTCCTTAAATACCGGAAAGGTCCTTCCCATGTGCTGCCTCATTGTCTGTGCTGACCAGTACCGTAACAGATACACTTGCAACAATATCCATGAAGCTGTCATCTTCGAAACGCCCCTCCTGTACTATCTCAAACGTTTCCATTGCTGTCCCCAAAAGCAGGCATCCCAGAAACATGCCCAGAGCCGCTCGGAAACAATGCCTGCCCCGACCCCCAGCCCCCAGCAGCTGCCACACCACGGCCCCTGTCCGCCCTCTGGCACTGGGAACAACCTTCACTTGAGACCAAGGTTTCATCCAAGAAACCAGGTCACTACCTCCAAACACAGCAGCCACTTGGAAGCAAAGATGTCACTTCCCGAGAGCGACGCGCGTGATTCCCCCCTTGCCAACTGGGTAATAAGTATCTTGACAGAAAACCACCAGGCAGCACCACCTCCTGTACCATCTGCTTGGGGACAGAAATTAATTCTGGCACGCTAATGGGCATGGTTTTCCATTCGTTCCCCCTCCAGGTCTGTCTCAGGAGCCAGAGAGCCTCCTGGGCACCACAGGGGCACACAAAACCCGGCATTGCCCCGAGACAACCAAGAGCCAGAGCAAGGCCAGTACTGCAGCTTAAACCAGTCGGGTCTTGTTGAGAGGTTGAAAGGGGCACATGAACAAAAAAGCTGCTCTGTTTTTCAGTTCTTCGAGTCTATTTATTTCATTGAGGCTGGTGGAGTAGGAAGAAATGTACAGTCCCAAGCTCACATCGCAGTCTCAGGTCACGATCTTTATCAGGACGGTTTCACAAAACACTCTAAAAAACTCTTAAAGAATTTCCCACGATTACTTTGCAATAAAATGGACATTATTTTAATGTAGTTCACACAGCAGATGAGCAATTGGACACGCACGGTTAAAAGGCGTATGGTAATGCCAGCACCTTCTCCTGGCTTTTCAAATTCCTGCCCCCAGGCACTTCCATAGGCGGCTCCATCAAAACAATCAAAAACAAACAAACAAGGCGTTTCACACACCTTCCGAAACTCCCACGTGGAGTTGTTCCCAGGGGGAAATCTCCGTGAAACTAACCGTCCGGATTCCCGGCCACGGGCGCTCCTTACCCGCGGACCGGGAGGGGCTCATTCCCACCCGGAGCGGTCCCCTCACGATCCGCGAGCCCAACGGGCACCGCGCGAGCCCCTCACGCGCTCCCTCAGCGCCGCCCGCCCCGGGGGCGCGGCGAGCACCGCTCGGCTCCGCTCGGGACCGTGCCCGTCCTCCCCACACAGCCTCCTCGCCCTGCCACACGGCGCCTTAAGAGTTTCCCTTGCGTCTTTTCTCCTGCCGGCGGGACACCAGACCGCAAGGTTTTCGCCTCGAGCACCACGGAGGAGCTCCGGCGAGGCTGCCACAGGGCACGCCCCGGGCAGGGGGGCTGAGGGAGCACCTGTGCCCTGCACGGCCCCAGCGCTGCCCACCCCAACCCCGCCGGACTGCACCTCACAGCTGAAACACATCACCTCCCTCCAACAAGCAACAGCTGAAACTCATCGGCTGCTCTCAGCCTGCAGAACCACGAGGGGAAAGGCTTCACCTGCAAGGCGACATTAGCGAGGTTCAACCTCGCCACACGCGCAGAAAAACATCACAAAGCGCCATACCATGGCCTCCTTTAAAGTTAAAAAAAATCCAACCACAATAAAGAGCCCCACATTAACGCTATTGACAAAAAGCAGAACAGATCTCCCGAAGAACCTCGCGTGAAATACGTTTACCTTCTATTTACTACCCAAGACTGCACCAGGAGCGCTTGGACACCGGGAAACGCGAATTCCCAAAGGTAGGAGCAGCGAAACGCAACCGCAACTTTCTCCCGCAGCTCCCGCGCCTCAGGAAGGGACACCCAGCGCTGCCTCTCAGCAGCGACAGCTCGGGGAGCGCACGGGGCTACACGGGAGCCTGGGGGTTCCACGGCAGCGAAGGGGGGCTTTTATCCCTCCGTTCCACCGCCGTCCCGGGGGAAAACACTCACCCGGGCAGCGCTGCGAGGGCGATGAGCGCCCGGAGCAGGAGTGAGGGGCGCGGGTGCCCTCAGGGCGCGGGGGGGTCCCCTCACGGCCGCCGCACTCACCCAGCAGCGCGCGGAGGTGCTTCAGCCGGGTCAGCACGTCCCGCTTCGGGTCCAGCGCCTTCTGCGTGGATTTCCTGACGTCGGCGTGGCCCTTCCTGGAGAACATCGCGGCGGGGCCGGACGGGGGGATGCGGGGGGCGCCGAGGATGGATGTCAGGATGGATGCCGGGAGCGCTGCCGGGGCGCTCCCCGCGCGCGCCGCTCCCCCCTCCCCTCCCCGCACCGCCCTGCGCCGCGGCCGCGCGGGGCGCGCCGGGAGCCTCGCGCCGCTGACGTCACCGCGGCGTGGCGCTGACATCAGCCCCGCTCGGTGCCGCGGGGATGCGGGGCGGCCGTGCCCGTGGGACCCACCCGCCGCGCCCTAGGTAGGCTCTGCCCCTTACCGGGGAACCCGCACCCGCTGGGGTAACGCCCTTCCACTGCCGCCCCCCTTCCGCCAGCCCAGGTGGCTCCCAGCCCCGTCCGGCCCGGCCCGGGACACTCCCAGGCATGGGGCAGCCACAGCTTCCCTGGGCAGCCTGTGCCAGGGCCCCCCCACCCTCACAGGGAACGGTTTTTTACCCTTGGATTTCAGATTTTCAATAAGTGCTTGCGCTATAAATATGTAAATATTTACTGTCTTTATATGTAAATATTTACCGTCTTTATATTTAAATATTTATTGTCTTTATATTTAAATATTTACTATTCCCGTGACACAGAGGGTTCATAGTTATACAACAAAAGCATGATCCCCCCCAGAATTAGGAGCCAGCAGCATTTCAATTAAAGGTCTTTGGATCCTCTCAATAAAATTCTTGTGTTTAAAAAAAAAGAAAAAAACCATAAATTTTAATAAGCTCCAAGGCAGGTTCTGTGGCCCTAAAAAAGAAAACACTGCGTCAGAGAAATAAGTTGCATGTATACTTAGCCTTAAACAAAATTATTCAAGAATCAATTTGCACATCACATAGAAATTATTTTTCAGCCATGAATCATTGTAGAATAATAAAATGTCCCAAGAAATACTACTGTTAAGAGCAGAAAATACATCACTGCCACATCTCGCTTCCTCTGAGGCCTCTCAGGGACCATTTCTGCTGCAAAGGCCTGGGGTCACCAAAGCAACAGGTCAGCGAGCCTGAAACATGTCCCACTGGAGAAGGGACAGTCCCGGCAAAGGCTGGCCCTGTCACCAGACCTTGGGGTATTCCTGCTGCTCTTGAGAATTCACTTCCTGCAGTCAGGAAGATGGATAGTGCTGATGCACAGCATTTAAAAAGAAAAATAAAAAATTAATTCTTTTTCTTGCACAAAAAGGATGGAGCACATGGCCTTGGAGTCAGGCACAGAAAATTCACTGCTGTCCCATCGTCCCTTGTCTTGGAGCCCGTTCCAGGCTTACAGTAATTCCTATTGCATATTCTTCCTGTCACACCATTACACAATGTCTCCTTCTAGAAGAGTTATAAAGCTGCTGCAATTGTCTAAAATTTTGGGTCACATGTTGCAATTTGAGCATTTGCGGCTTCCTGAGAGGAGTGAATTGGGCCAGTCCAGCTTTCACCTTCCATTGCCACCAATCAATTTGTGCAGTTGGCTGAGGAAGCACATGGCTAAAATCTTGGCTTCCTCTTGTTTCTTCTTTCTTATTTTTTTTCCTTCCCTTTTATTTTAATTGACTTACGAAACCAGTGACTCTCAGTTTGTCTCTTCTGCCGGTTTCTGATTGTTCCATGGTTTTGTCTTTTTCTACTTTGTTAAAAAAGGAACCATTGCAGATGAAGGAATTGTGCTTATACAGCTGCTCTGGTGTCTGATGACTTCTGTGATAAGGAGGGAAGCGTCGTGGTGCTAAGCACCAAACTGCACAGCTTTGGTCACTTGGTGCTTTAAAAGTTGCTGGAAATTCTCCTTGTGGGAAGCTCCACTGAATAAGAATTCCATGGCTGGAGTCGTGGTGCTCCAGAACAGTCCATGCTCTCCCCGTTAGGTGCTGGGAAATGGGGTCGTGTGGGGGAATCGGCATCTTTTAACGCTGGCATAACTGGAGCGGTTGGAGGTTGTTGATTTGTGCTTTCACCACGGAGTTAAGGTTATTTATCTCGCTTCTCGTGTGCTCATGAGCTGCCAGGTGAGAAAGTGCTGCTGTAGGTGCTGGGAGGTAATTCCCTGTGGGGCAGGATGTTGCCCTCTGGAGTCTGGAGGGCTGGCACTGGGGAGCCAGCGGGTTGTGATATCCAGCTGGAAGTAACCCATCAGCTCAGCAGCAAGGTGCAAAGCCATGGGATGGTATCTTCTCAGAGTTTTAAGTAGGAGGATGTATCCAAATTAATATGTACCTGTAGGAACTGAGATTTATATGTAACTGACCTAGAATTTATTAGTTCAAACATAATCAAATATAACTTTTCAAATTATTCACTTGGAAGCTGATACAGCATGACACAAACCAGAAATGCCAGTAAACCTGCATCAGTGGTCTCAGCCTGTGCAGGAGAGCCACTTGTAAAATCCTGTGACTTGTGTTTTCCAACAATATAACATTTGCAATTTCCCAGAAAGTCAGATGATGCATTTCCGAAAGTCGGTGCTTAAGGTAGAACAATTTCCTGAAAGAGATTGGGTCACTGAGCTCTCAGGATCTGAGGTAAAGGCTATATAAAGCAGTCTCTTCGGAGGACTTGTGGCAGAACTGCATTGTTAAAGGTCACAGCACAGTGGGATGTTCTGAGCGAGCTGCCCGTACCGGCACAGGCACAGCATTGGGTATTCCTTAGGAAAATCACTCCCTGTGCAGGAGCCTGCCCGGGTGTCTGCTTGGATAACGTGGTGGTGGGCAGGCCCTGCTGCTGCTGGCTGCAAGGAGGAGGCCCGGCATCCCGGCATTCTGGGGGAGGTTTCTGGGGAGTGGTGGCACGGCCAAGACTCTGCTGACAAAAGGGAAAGTGCTGACCTTGCGAAGGCTGTCCCTGCAGGGCCTCTGGCACAGCCCCTCCTGGCTGGGCTCCTTCTGCTCTTGGAGGAGTTTCTATTTCGGGCACCCCTTGCCTTCAGCAGTGCAGGTGAGGGGCAGCACACGCCCGGTCCAAAATAGAATAGCCTGAATTATTAATCCGTGTTTGTGCCATGGGCCGGCACGCTCTCCCTGAACTGCACGGCTCAGGCCTTCCCTTCCTGCCCTTTGGGAAGCAGCCTGCTCCTCCAGGGAGTGAGGAACGGGGTCACACTGGCAGTGACGATCCCACAGCAGGCACTACCCCGCTGCAGCTGGGCCCTGCCACCAGTGCTCACTGTGTGCCACCCAGGAGCCTGGGGGACGCTCGGGGCAGGGGAGCAGGAGCTGTGGCTCTCAGGGGTCTGTTGGCTTGTTGTCATCCTGAGGACATGGTTACTTCCCAAATTTCCCACCAGAAGGATGGCACAAATGCCGTTCCGCTGGTCAGAGGACAGTGCATTGCCATGGTGTGTAACGATGCATGGGGCAGAGCCACAGTCACATATTGTGACTGTGGCTCTGCCCCATGCATCGTTACACACCAGGATGTGCCTCACTGCTGTCACCACTGACTGAGGTGGGCCAGGAGAAGCAGGAGCTGGCCCATTCTTGTGTTCATAATGCATTCAGCTCCTCGGTCACAGGAGGGAGGCATCTCTGCCCTCTTTCCTTCCCTGGCAGGGGTAGGCAAGTGCCTCTTGCTGCGGAGTCTGTGGAAAGGTGACACCAGCCACACGAATTTCGCTGGACCTGATGAACAGGCAGGGTTGCTTTTCCCGCGGAGCCTGAAATTTTAATGGCACAGATTACATTACGGAACTTCTCCGCTTACTTGTGTCAATGTAACATGTTATACTGAGCCCAGGAAAAAGGGCAGGGGAAAAGTAAATACAGGAGACTTGCCTCCTAAATAACCTGCAGGCGAGAGAATGATTTCCTTAGCGTAGGATGCCGGTACTGACTTTTTGTCCTTCCAACCAAATGCTTCAAATTGTATTTAGAAAGCTGCTTTTTGTGTCCTCTTGCATATCCTTGGTCCAACACACGCATTAATGCACACGAGCTCCTTATTTCCTGCACTGGAATCAGCTCACTTGATGCTTCCTGGCTTAGGTGCAGGTGCTTGGCAGGGCTTTGGTGCTGTGCCCTCGTAGGGAAACGAGGCTCTGCCCTCTCTGTCCTGAAATGACGTGTGGAAAAGACTTTTCCCGCTGGGCTCTGAGTTTGATAGTTTTGTTTTCCCAAGTGTTCCCGTAGGGCACACAGGCACGGATCCCTGCTCCTGCAGAGCTCTGCTTCAGGCTCAAAACTGTACAGTTAGTGCTGAGTTCCTGCTATATGCCCAACTTTTCCTAAGTCTGGATCCTGCAAATGGCTTTCCGTGGATGAGCTTCTGCCAAGGTTTGGAGTTCCGCTGAGTTTGTGGGAGCAGCAGTGCCTCGTCCATTTACCGCTCGCGGAGGGTCCCCCCTGGGGACTCCCGTTCAGCGCCTGAAGGGTGCTCAGGGAGTGGGCAGTGTCTCAGCCTTCGGAGGGGCTGTGCCCAATTATCCAGCTTATCCAGGGGTGGAGGAGAGCAGTCCAGAGGGGCACAGTGTCCGCGTGTCTCCTCGAGACACGTGCTGGCTGCTCGGCTCGGCACCCCCAGCCCGACAGCTTCCCAGAAAACAGTTAATTATTTAGCAGCAGTGGCTTACTTAATACTTACTTGTAGGAGTTGAATATTGACTTTAGGAAAAGCAGATGGGACACAGCTCTCCAGGGACTGCAGGATGGCAGACTGTGGGTGACAGTGTTGAAATAACCCACGCCTAAGGCGTGTGTCCCTAAGCACAGCTGTATCTGGGAGCTGGGCTTCCAGAAGGTCTCACTCTGGCAGTAAAAGGGAATAGATCTTCTGGGTACTGGACTATTTAGGAAGAACCTGATGGAAAATTTCTAACCCTTGCAGTATATAAGGTATTCAGGTATCATTCATATAGTAAAAATGATAGACAGAAAAAATGCTCCGTCAAAAAAAACCCCATCAGATTTCCTTCTGCTGGAATCTGAAACTGTGTGTAGAGGGAAAGAGAAGGATTTACGTCTGTGGATGGAAAAAAATTCCAAAATAGAAAGATCAGGGATTGCATGTCCCATGATACCTTCTAAAAGGAAATGGTAAGGAGGATATGGAAATTTCATGGAGTAAAAATATCAACCCACCCAGGAGAGCTCAGACTACACTTGCGAAAGGC